AGGTTTTGATCCATTTTATCATGTCGTGCTAACATTTCAAGTGGTGTTCTTTAGAACTTTAGATATGGAGTAGACTTCAATTGATGTAAATCGGTTTTAATTTGATGTTACAATTTGAGGTTGAACTAGAATTCGTTCAGTTGGTTTTCAGTTGATTACAATTTGCGTTTAATTGATTTATGAAGGGTTTGACTTGGACTTTAATAGTTCCAGTGTGAATTCGATGTCCTTGAATTCTTTTGAATTTTAAATACGGTTCCAACTGTGTTTATTAGGGTCAACTTGAATTTTACTTGTTTCTAAGCGGGCTATAATTAAACACTAACGGGATTTCACATAGGCTGTGTTTGATTTCATGTCGATTTCAAGTTTATCTTAGTGTTAACGTGCCTTTCAATTCATCTAAAATAGATTTACTGTAATTCTTTGCATTAAAAACCTTCCAATGAGACGTATTCGTTGTTGTTGTTTGGGAAGGGTAGACTAGACGATTGCTATCATCATTAATTAGTGGACGGGATCGCCGCGTAGCTTCAGGCATTCAAAGGCCTTGAATCATGCAGACCGCTTCTCGGCCCTGATTCTTGAGTCCGGCCCGCGCAGGTTGCCAGAGATAATTGATCCACAACGAAACAAACTGGACTCCATGATGAAGCCGCTTTCAGGAAGGTAGTGGTCTTTTTAACTAAGGCCTTTCCATTCTTAGCTTGAGAGAGTGTAGTTGCAATGAGCTACTTCCCTGTCTCGTGAGTCTCGCGTGCTTGTGCGGAAAGTAGCTTCAAATTCCCACCCGCACCAGAAACCGCAAATCGGCTCCAGCAACCTGCAACTCCCCATCAGCGGACTCACATTGTTCAGCAGGAGATCTACCGCAGAAATCTGAATCTACACAGAAATCTACTCGATGGATTGGGACGGTACGCCGAACCAAGCGGACTACTAGCCGCGGCATTCAGATTTCGCTCTCTAAAGAGACATCCGGGCAGGAGCATGGCAGACTTCTTGATCTGACAGCTCCCGTTCCAGACTACAATTCTTTCTCAGAGCTCGTTGACCTCAACGCCGTCGCGACCCCTGAGCCGCGCTGAGGGAGGCCGTGGGCTGGTATCTGGGAAGGCTGTTAGTCTCCTTCCTCACAAAGGCTTGTGCTTTGCTACTTTGACTCGAAAGATTCCGTTTGTCAGGGTCCATGTCCCACAATGCGAACCCGATGTGATCTCAGCAACCCTCTATACTAGCCCACCCAAAAGCCCAGAATAACATCCTGCCTCACATCCTTTTGCTTCAGCGCGGTGGGCGCGCCGCCGTCTTATTAGATTGCTGTGTTGAACTGCATTTAGACATGGCCATCGTGCTTTGGCAAAGTATAGGACAATCCCGTACGTCATGTGGAGGTTTTCAAGCCGTTCTGTTTGGCGGCCGTCAAATGTAGCGGTTGTAGTACATTCTTGCAATATATCGGTGGCCTGACTTTTTGGAACCCACCGTTGTGTCCCAGTCCCTGCAATATTGTACTTGCTGGGCCCTGACAAGCACTCCTGAATCCTTCTCCACACTGTCTAGACATGGTTCACGCTCATGTCAGGCTTAGAACGCATGTCCGGATTGAATGCCTAGCCGAAGGTGACTGCAAGTTCAAGCGAACCGGAGGCTGAATATTCCTTTTGCATAGGTTGAAATCCTCACCGCCCTATACAACCTGAACCCTAAACCCAACGCCCTAAACCCCAACCCCCAAACCTCAAACCCTAAGCGCAAAGTCAAAGCTTGACCCAGCCTCTAACTGCTGATGTTCTTCTAGTTCTATGGAACTAGGACAACGGAGATTCTTCAGGCTTCTCGACTAGAAGTCTCTTCAAAGCATCCTGCCTCGCTTGGCATTGTGTGTCGTCTGCCAGCACCTAGCTGGGACTCGGCACTTCATGTTCATGGCAAGATTTGCTTGAGCAGAATTACAAGATCTGGCTGCTGGGCTGGAGTTTTGAAACTTCACAGGCAACCCCCACATAGAGGCCATGCAGAGACGAAGGCAAGCATAAACACACACCTTCTGCAGAAACCACGCATCCCTTCAAATGAGAAGAGGCATCGTTTCACTTGGAGGTTTGTACCATCACATGAAGACCTTAATTGCAAGCTTCGTGGACGGTTGGCGGGCATGTGAGCCTTAAGAATATTTGAACCTGACCTGAAGTCCCGGAGCACGCAACTGTGCGTGAGTATTCCCCGACACGGGAGTCCCTACGATCCTTCCCCAACATGCTACAACCGGCATGTACTACACGAGGATCCCTAAAAAGGGACCCCCATTTTGGCACCCCACCCCTAGCATTTCCGCGTTCATGTAGCGCTAGGTTGCTGCCATGGTATAGCTGAAAGAAGAAAATTCTGAAACTCTGGGGTCGTTGCCCAGTATCCTTGTTCCCAAGTCTTACCTACTAACGCCCAACATGGGCTCTTAGCCTCAAACTCAAAAGCTCTCAATGTCCCATACTAAGGGCCCATAATTCCAGTCGTGAACCTGCAGCCTGGGCAAAAACCCAAGATCTAAGATCCCCAAAAAATCAAAGTCCAAACTGGCCAGGAGGGGAAGACTTGGAAGTTTGGGAATGCTTTGGGGGACCAGATACAAGCTACTAGAACTTAAAGTAATGATCCATTCCACCGTTCCTGCCAAACAGTTCAAACACGGCACCTGCGACTCGGTACCAGGAATATCTTTGCTGTGCTCCGCGCCAGGCAACAGTGCAACAAGGCCTGCCAAACGTGCCACAACATGTCCAAAGCAATTGTCCACTTCTGAGGGATATGTCTCATCAGGGAATGAGGGTGGGAGATTACAACACATTTTAGTGTCAGCTAAAGTCGTAACTACTTACAAGAAACACGTTTATATCATCTAGCTATAATATTTCAGCTTTTTCTAGCCGAAAATAAATGAATATGCATGCACAGGGTTTTCATTACCTGGATGCTGGGAGAGCTCGAGGCATGACCGGCAAATGGGGGGTTTTAGGATTGGGGGCTTGGGTTTAGAGTCCCCCTCAAGCAGATAGAATATGGGGTATATGGGGATCTTATTATAATGTACTCAAAGCCATATTCTATCTACTTAAGGGGGACTATATAGCACTTAGTGTTCAGGTTCAAGGTTTGAAGTCTAACGTTGGGTTCTGGCATTCCGGGCTGAGGGCTCAAGGTTGCACCCCGTCCAGCCTCAACACCGGTGTCTTGGGCCTGATGAAGATCGAGTTCTGTTGCGCAGAATAGTTGATAACAATCCCACCCTACAATCCTTGCATGAGTACAATGCTGTGGCCCGGACATTACTCATTGGTTGTTACTACGGGATGGAGGACTGGAGCCCTGCAGTACGGTAGCCCATGTACATTTTCCAAGAATAAGGCAGATTTCTTTTTCCATTCCATTGTTCTTCACAGACACAAGCCTAGCTCTCGGCTTAGCATCAGTCGCCTGGCGGCACCGCGTTCGCAGGAAACTGCTGCACCCAACTCTGACGCCGGCGTCGACGGTGCTGCATGTACTCCTTGGTTATATTGTACTATATTATATTAGATATTATACTATATTATAGTATATTATACGATATTATATCATATCTCGGATTTCTTGACCGAGGCTGGGAAGTTGAATTCAAAGACGGGAACCTGAAACCAGGCTACTTTGAGCTGTATGGCTTTACACTTTGCCCTTCTTTGCTGCCTTTTGGAATGCCAATGCTACGCCTGCCGCGGCATCTGGAGCAGCCAGAAGCCGTCACAGTCGTAGTGAGGGCATACCAGAAGCTTGCGCAAAGTTATTGTTCTGGTGGCTTTGCCAAATTTCTCGACCTAGTTGCCGAGTTCCCCGGGCCAAGAATGCTAACCTCTTCATCATGGTAGGATTGCAATGCCCAAAAGGCTGCAGGCTAGCTTGCTGTGCAGAGAAAGACGATGAGGCGAACTACTGCTTGTGACAGGTCCCCCTCAGGTCAGTGCCCGGCGGGTGCGCGACCAGTTCACAGAGAGAGGCTTCCTGCATGATTGCCCAAACATTGACTCTTCTAGCTACCTCAAACACACGCAGACTAAAGGCGACTAAAGGTATTTAGGAATGTTCCAGGGCTGGAAAGATGCATATTACATCCAGGCAAGCAGATTACGCATCACTAGCAACTAGCGTTATATCGAGCCCTGCACAATGGGTCCCCAGAAAGAGGCTGCCATCGAGGAGGGTTAGCAGCTGCTCCACACGCTCCTGGCACCGAGCGTCGAGGATCTCAAGCTTTGTTGGATTTGGGGACTCCTCAAAAAATGAGTCCGGGAAAGGCTTAGAAGCGATTCTTGGATTTGAGGTGCTAAAGCGGCTCGAATCTCCCTCGTGTGGGATAGTGACCAATATCCAAGTCCTGTAGCTGTGCCTTGCAGCTGGACAGACGGGATCGAAAGCATGGAAAATGAAATGGAAGCTAATCCACTCAGGGTTTAGTAGGGTTATAGAGGGACTAATTATTGTGAGGACTACTGTAGGGATCCATTCCGCCGCTCCCTCCTAACCACTGGCAAGAGCATGCCCGAGATATCCAAGTACCTGGCTACGCCAATCTGCATTCAAAAGAAAAGCTTCCTCAAGCTTGCGTGGGCACGGAAAAGCAGCTCTACAAAAGAGCAAGCTGATCTACCGGATGGAAACCCAAAAAAGTTTCTGGTAAAGGGACAGCCGTTGACAACTCCTTTTGGGATTCCAGTTTGGGGGGAGGCCATCGCGTCACCTCCCACTTGCAACTGATGCTGCAGCAGTTTGTGGGGGTGAAGCTTCTCAGTCTGCATCATGCGAAGGATGCTTCTCACGCCTGTGAGAAAGTCCTCTTATGGTGGGACCTTTCAATTTCACTCCATGACTTGGCTTTGCATCAGCATCAAGCAGCTATAGATCCGTCAAACAAATGCGCATCCCTAACGGCCCGCTAACGGGCACTTTGTACCCTTCCAAGTCTGCACCTGCGAACCGTGGATCTCAGCGAAGGCGAAGCCTCAGCTGGTTGAATTCAACTATACCTACACCTACTATATAATCCAGACTGCTGTTGAATCGTTTCTAACTAGGGTTAAAAGTTTCGGGGATTGATGATCTTCTGAACTACATGCGCAAAATGATGTCAGAAACTGTGTGGTGCCCATTGCTTTCATCCTCAGCGGTTTCCATACCTCGGGCCCAACATCTAGACCTCCATAAACTAGAATCCCTCAGTCAAGGACTCCCCAGAAGAGGCCCCCTGTTTTTGCTGTCACCCATTTTCCACATACATCTCAGTCAACATGATATCCTAAGCCAGAAAGCTGTCCCAGTATTGACAAGATCCCGGGCAACCCAAGACGTCACCGAGAAACGTACATAGTATACCTTGAGTCATATGAAGGATCCTAGTATCATTGACGGCTTGTGGAAACTGACCCTCTTGGGGTGCCTTCTCCTTTAAAACCATTGCTTTGAACAAGGGTTTGTGTAGGATTCCACGTTAGATTTGGGGGGGAGGTAATGCCTGGGAAGCCAAACCAATGGAGCAGAGCAATTCCAAAGGCCAAGGCTCGCAACCCACACCTCGTGGATCACAAGGACCTTTTGGGATCATTCGTCGGCTACTTTGAATCGCACACTTCAACCTCAAGAACTCTATAAGTCCCCGAGATTCCTCCACTTCAGAAAGATGACCCCCACAAACCTGAACCCTAAACCCTAGCCCCTCTACCCTGAACAAAAAAAAGCCCGGCACCTGGAAAGCTCAACCCTGAACCCTGCGCCCAGTGTGCTATGGTATATTGGGGTTATATAAGGGACGGTGGATAAGAAAATGGAAGCTACGATATTAGAATCGGGATTTTATGAGGTTATATAGCGATAATGGAAAAGAAAATGGAAGCTACTATCTAATAGTTGTTACAGATCCTTAATGGTAGGCAAGGAGCGCCCAGTGTGGTGGACAGAGATGTACTTCACAGGCGGACCTGATCAGGAAGCAGCCATGTGCAAGTTTCTCAAAACAGGGGGAATTCAAGGGACTTCATATAGGAATATGTGGGGATAATATGTCAGGGGCTATGGGACAGGCTTCTATGGGGATTTGTGTTGTTTTTGGCTTACATGTGGTGTGCGGCAGAGCTGATCTTCTAGCCAATGACATGTTACAGTCACTGTACGTGAAGACATACGATTATGTTCACTAATACGCTATCCTGATTGTGACCTCAGACCTCCCGTATTATCTTTACTTGCATGTTTCAGAGCTAAAATTACCATTGCTTTCCTATCGTTATTGTTACGCGTATTTGGGGGAAGCTATAGTCTCTAAAATGCGGAGTTGGCCCCCAAGGGCTAACGTCTTTGTTGTGGTAGTGTATGTACATATGTTCCAGAAAAAGCTTCAGTCTCAGCTACCCAGCTGCTACGTGACCCTTTAGCACAAATACGGTACGATGGGCGCTGGTCAAGAACCGCGAGCCCGCACCCGGAACTTCGAAGTTGTAATGAAAAACAGGAGTCAAGTAAGGTTTAGGGCTTAAGGCTAGGAGGTCTAAATCATTAAATGATGGAGAACGACATGGACGAGAAAATGGAGGCCTACAGAATTTGAATACAGTTTTGAGTACGCTTATATATCTTCGCTTCTGCAGGCTTCTACAGTACAGCCGAACCTCTGAACCCTACCTAGACGTCTTAGACAGCCGACTATAGGCAAGTGAAGTTGGGATGAAAGGCGGCTGCCTAAAGCCAATGCTCTTAAGCATTCTGATGGGGGGTGCAAAAAAATCAATACCATAATGAGACAAAGAATGTAGGACCATGATGTTGGTGATTATTCAGGCTTCTGCATTCTAGTTTATCCCTACTCGCCACTGAGCTCTAAGCCCCCTAGAGTCCCTAGAGATTGCACAGTGGCTTCTTCAATTCCTTCGTTCGCTGCCGTCTGGACAAAGCCCCCAAACCACCCTGATCAATGCATAGATGCAGACATACATACATACATACATACTAACTATACTATACTGTACTATACTATACTCTACTTTCCTATACTATACTATACTATACTCTACTATACTATACTATGCTATACTATACTATACTATACTATACCATACCATCCATCCATCCATCCATACATACATACATACACACACATATATATGTGTATATGTACATATCCTTGTGCAGATGGGACTGATCCCAAATTACTGTTTCCCAAATGGGGGAGATTTAAGTAGGGACCCATTGGCATAGCAACCCCAGTGTACGGACCCGTATTGTAATGAACTTAGGGAAATGCTCATACCCATGTGTAGATCCAGATGAACCCTGGCCCCGCGGCCTTCCTCCAGGTCATAACCGGGCAAGGACATGGCCAGCCCCGTGACATGGCGATCAAGGCGGCGCTGTAGCTTCAGCTCCTTCGGATTTGGTGTTACTCGCGGCTACTGGGTAATGCTTGTTGCCTCTCAGTTGTTGACACTTACGACTTTTTGTTTCTTACTTACTACCTGTAACCACTGCTACTTTTCATGATTGCTATCACTAGTACGTGTACTCGCGATTGTATGCTTTTATGACTAGTACCCGCAGGGTTTAGAGTTTAAGGCTCAGGGCATCCCAAACAAAATCTTGAATGGCGGCCAAGAAGCTGAGAAGCATGCTGCCTAATGTTGAAACGACGGACCCCTAGCATTTTTAGGATCTTCAAGCCTTGACCGTATCGGCACGCTTTACTTTGACGCAGAGAGCCGCCCCTCAACCCTAAAACTGCAGACCTGGAGTCATAACCCGAAAGCCCCAAACCCAAACTTCAAAACCCCCTCCCCAGGTTCCTTGCAGGTAGGCTGACCGTTCTGGACATCCTCTTCTTCCTCGGAAAGCTGGTCGAAAGCTCGATAGCCTTGATCCGTCTGCAGAGGATTTTGCTCGGTCGGGAAGAGGGGAATTGAAAAAGAACCTGATAGGAGCTACAAACCCCAATGCAAACACGTGACACGTACGTGTCGAAGATAACACGAGGCACGCGCAGCACAGTTCGCGGGCCCTCTACTCAGGGCCCCAACCGATGAAGGACTCGCCTCTCTCAGCTCCCTCCTCTTTCTCCTCTCCCACCTCTCTCTATCGCTCTCTCTCCTCTCTTCTCTCTCGCCTCTCAGCTTCCTCCCTTCTCTCTCCTCTCCACTCTCTCCACTCCACTCCTCCCAACTCCGTTCCACTCCACTCCTACCCTCTCGTCTCTCTCATCTCTCTCCCATCTTGACTATCCTTCTTCTTCTTCTTCTACGGGCTAAGCTCGCCCCTGCGGACGAGCCGGAGCAGAGCTCCGAGCCCAAGCGCGGTCCGTCTGTCCAGGTCGGGCACCAGCAAGTACGGAACACGCATTCAGGCAACCAGTAAGAACCAAAAGACATGAATAACTGATCCCCCAAGAGTTCCTGGCCCCTCGATTGCCTGTTCTTTCCTCAAACTGGCTGTGAAACTTGGCATGGATCTTTCCCCCCGTACTTTGACTCTACCTACCACACACTCTGGTCAGCAAGCCCACTACCAAACACCAAAAGAGCAAATGCACAGATTGGGAGGGAGGTCGATCCGGGTGCCGCTCATTCTGGCGTGGTGGCGTGTATACTTACCACGGCAAAGCTGGAAAGGACAGCTAAAACCTTCGAGGAATCCCTACGAGTAGCCTGATCGTCTTGTCTCTCCTCTCTCTCATCTCTCTCCACCCTGTTCTCTGTCTCCTCTCCTCCCCTCCCCTCTCCTCACCTCAACATGCCTCCACTTCGGTCCACTCCTCTCTCCTCTGCTCACCTTCCTCTCCTGTCCTCTTCACCTCCCCTCAGTGTTCACTCTCCGCGCCCCTCCCCTCTCTCCTCTCTCTCCCTTGTCTTCTCTCCCTTCGTTCTGTCCACTTTCTCAACCTCTCCACTCCTCTACTCCTCTCTGCTCCTCTCCTCTCCACTTTCCTCCCGACTCTCCAAAAGTGACGACAGTTCCGAGGACGGCGACCCCGAGGCGTCCCGTCCTTGTGACCCTTGACACTTTTGACACACGACAAGACGACGAGGCTCCAAGAACAATGACAAATATGCGGATAGCAAGCCATTCCTTTGACTGTTGACGCCTTTGCCCAGAATGTGACAGTAGTCATAGGGATCGCGGCCCTCGGCCTTCGGCCGGGTCCCGAAGTCCTAGTGGACAATGTGCGGGCGCTTGCAAAGGCTTCCCGAACACACACGCAACGATATTTGGTCAGCTTCTAGACTCCTGGACCCCAACCTTTCAAACGGGAACCCTTCCGAGCATTGGAGATAATGGACGCGGCTATGTTGTTTTCCCGGCTTGGCGTTTAGGAGTTCAGGGGTGCAGGGTTTGAGTGTCAGCGGGTTAGAGTGTAGGAGTTGACGGATTTCAGGGTTCAGGGTTGCCGGGTTTATGCTCGGGCTAGGGTTTAGGGATTGAGAATTCGGGGTGCAGGATTTGGGGCTTGGGGCTTTAGGTGTTCTTGTTAGAGGTTGCTCAGCGATGAGAGCTGCGGCATTCAAGGCTGCAAGGAGACAAGAGCGTGTGGACCTGATGCTTGCCGGAGCTCCAACAAACATATGACATTGATACCTTGATACAGATAGGTGTAACAACCACTTCACTATACTGGATCGTCACTGCTGGGACCGAAGCCTGTCTGTGCGTCCTGAAGTTAATTCCTCCCTCCAAGGCGCCTGTCACCCTACATCAGCATAGAGTTGAGGCAATAGGCCGGGTACCCCTCAACAAAGGGTAGTTTCAAAAAAGCAGGGTGCCGGTACATGCTCAAAAATGCGGTATGGTATAATCTGCCTCACCAGGACCGGCATAAAAAGGGGCCCTGAATTCTGGGAAACCCGATATCTGCGGACCAGCCGCTCGGCAGATTCCCAATCCACAACCTGTGAGAGTGTGGCACAGCTGGAGGTGGATTCGGCACCCAATCCACCTTCGCAAAACGCGAGATCACCCTAAAGTGCAGTGGTCTCTTCACAACGAGTGCGGAGACTCCAACATGGAAGTTGGCAGAATCCGCGTATCCTAGGGAACCCGCATGTATGCTTCTTAAAGGGAGTTTTTAGGTAATCCGTCACATCAGCCTACTTGCAACCTGGGCTTTCGTTGCTGGAGTCCGGTGTAGCCTGAAATCTGACGGCCCGGGCCGGAAGGGCTTTGTAGTGATTATAGCTTGGCCCTGTAAATATACATATATATATATGTATATATAATATATATACATAGGATAATCGATGTAGGGGAAAGGGGAGAGTACTCTTACAAACTAATATGCGCCCCACCAAAAATGCCATATAACCTTTCTATAAGCTTTCACTAAGGTTAAGGTTTTGAGCGTCTACGTCAAGCATACGAATGCTCACAAAGGATTCCGCTCAATGGACACGCATGCAGGAACCAATCTTGATCTGGATGTGGGACTGAAAGCAAAGACTCCCCCACCTACGAAACACTGCCAGGAGAAGGAAACCCGTCTAAAATCATATAGCAAAACTCCTGGTATAACTTGGGCTATACGGTATATTCCTGAATCAAAGGGTATTTGGCCCGAACTCAGATGTCCCCCCCAAGCCCCCAATCTAGGTAGGTATGTTACGAAACGCGAACAGTATCTAAGAGTAACTAACGGACTATAGGATTTTACGTGGCCACAACTTGAGTTTCCCTACCTAGCCCGCAACAGTCCAGCATGCACCAGGCAGGAAAAAGCCAAATTATCACCGCGAAATATCCTGCAGTACAGTCTAGGCTGCTATGAGTACTGGGTTTGATGACTGATATAGGCAATTCAACGCCGACAACACTAGTGTGTAACATTCGAATCTCCACGAAGATCTTAAGCCCTAATTCCCTACAGAACCACTGTTTCCATTTCACGTACTCAAAGGATGCGGCCTTCGCGGGTGCAGGTGGGGGTTGGTCTGGCGGAGGCGGCGGCTGTAAGACGTCGCGTGTCCTAGGAACATGAAGCCACAAGGGATTATGTAAGGACCGCGATAGAGATCCATTCCTCCTTTCCCTACGAAGCACCAGGTAGTAGGAGCAACGGCATGAATGCAGCCTTTCCAGCCTTGGTTTCAATGCTTTGGATTTCTAGCCCATGATGATGACCTAAAGCTAGGGACCGATGACATCTGATTGGAGCTTGCAAGTCTTGGTCTGCTAAAGCAATGCTCATCGCGGATGTTGGTCACTGGAGTTCCTGCCGCATCTCATTACAGGTGGGCAGTGCCAAGGGCTCGAAAAGAGAACCTGGCTTCGAACCCTAGACCCTGTCAAGCAACGACCCGAAACCTGCTCGAACCCTTGCTTGTTCAAGGTCTCAACACGTTTCTATCTCCTTGCGAAAGAGAGCAAACTAACCATCCTCACTGGCGTGTTTCCAGGCGTGACACACCCTGAGAGCCAAGAAGGTCGCTCACAGAATCAGCCGTATCATCAAGCTGTAAGGCATTGGCTGCAGCAATTGTCGTCTTCTGTCTTCTAGTGCTGCTGCTGCTGCTGCTGCTGCTGCTGCTGCTGCTGCTGCTGCCCGCTGAATACCGCTGATGCCCGCGGTGGTCTACTTTCGAGGGAGAGCATCAACAGCATTGCGGACCAATCATGAATGATGTAGTGTAGAAACCAGTGAACTTATTTATGTTCCCCAAAGGCAAAATCATCATAGGGTTTCTCAAGCCCATCCCAGAGACATAGCCCCCAAATCCTCCCGTCTACAGCGACCTGGAGAACTGAGGAAATCTAGTAGGATTATTGCGAAATGGTCGTCGTCTATAAGTGTGCCCGTAGAAGACTACTATGGAATATTGCCTGGTCATAATGTGCTGAACAGCCAGGAGTCAAATCTAGAGGCTTCTCAGCAGAGCCGTCCACATTGGCGAAGCCGCTGGGGCGACAGATCTGCACCTGACAAGGCTACTCTTCTCTTGCCTGTTGATCAATAATAAAAGTCAGTCGATATTCTGTAGTGATAGTGGAGAAGATTGGAATGTTGCATTCCTTGTCGGGTTTAGTATTACAAAGATTGCCATATACGACAGAGACTCAGATTTGCCACATGCTTGAGGATTGCGTCTAGCGTTGCCACAGAGCTTCAACGACCCCAAGAGACAAGCTCTTCTAAGACTTATGGGCCAAAAGTAAGTGATGTTGTACCTCTGGGGCCTGGTCAGGCTCCGGATTGGGCTGCCCAACCCCGTTCCAACCAGCTCGTTAACTTGCGACCTTCGACGCCATCTGTCGTCCACTAGACTCCAATGCCCGGAACCGTGGAACTGGAGAAGCGTGCGCAGTTACAATCTGTTTCCTTTGTGACCCTTACATGACTATGGTATCATATACCCCAGAACCCATTTAGTGGTGCTTAGTCGGGCATGGGCAATAATAAAATTGGGGATGATGAAGGGACTACTACGGAGATCCACTCCCCAAACTCTCTACTAAGCACCAGGGAGTCATTTTTAATCCCTTCTAGCCTAAGATCTTCCCATTGTCCGGTCACTTCTGCCTCGCCTTCTTGCCGTGCACGATCATTTCTTCCAAGGCAATGGCCGTGCTTGCAAGCCTGGTACACTGGTCAAGACGTTCTCAGAAAGACCCCTGCGTGGCCCTTCCATGAACAGGGGCTGCAATATGGACACCAAAAAAAACCAACCCATCAAATGGGGACCCCTAACACGGGACTCTCCCACTTTTTGGAAACCGTACATGGTTCCGACTCCAGGATCCCCTTTATTCCCCAAATAGGGGTTTGTCAACGTTCTGGTGCATTTAAATATCAAAGCCCCTATTAATTATACAAGTGACCACAAACGGACCACCCTTTTGACAATCTACCATACAGGGGCCCAATACCCCTTCACCAGAACATACGGCAGATCATTTTGAGGCTCGCAATTGCCGCGCTCCATCTTGTTTTGCATTTGATATGATTCTCCAACGGAATAGTTATAGAGGCCGCCTAACTCTGGATTCCATATATCCTCACATACCCTGCGTATCCCTTGATATGCCTTGTCTATCCTCAAGTCTTATGTGTTTCAAGGCCTGGCATCTGCGAGGCGAGCGAAGCCAAAGGGTCCCTGGCCCAGGCGCACGTTGACGATGGGCGTCTCCCTGGGGCTCTCAGGGTTTCTTATAAAGTGACCTGTTGAAGGGGTATAGGCGCTATAGGGATGTCTCGCCTGTTTTCAAAACTCGGGCTCTAAGGTGTTTGCTTGAGGCTCTATGGCTCTGAAGTGTAAAACTGTTGGTTTTGGGCTGCGAGCTCAGTACCTTCCCATAAAGGGACTCTTTCCTGGTTCGGATACTCTGAAGAACAATGGCGCATGCCTTTTTGGGTCTGAATAATGTGTTTTTTTGCTCCTTTAATGGGAATTTTCAATCAGTAAATTACCACATACGCAACCCCATAAGGCTGATATAGGGACAATGGGAGCCATATAATGGCTATGTGAAATTCAAATGAGACAAACTTTGCATTATAATCGGCTTGGAGTAACGGGGTCTTCAAAGGGGATTATAAGGATACATAGCGTGTAGAGTTTCTGAAAGTAAGCGATCTTCACAGTTGTCCCTACAGTAATGAATCCCCATCTTCCCCACCAGAGTAACCCATGCCCGAGCTGCCAATCAAGCATAAGTCAGGTTTGGGGATGCTGATTGAAATTTGCAGGTCTCGTTGAAGGACTGGTCTGATGCGTGGGTTTTACATGAAGCTGATACGGGTCAATGGGAGGTACTTAAGGGCCATGCGCAGCTTATGTAGGAGACACTTCCCCACTTGAACAATCTTAGACTTTAGACTCCCTCCATAGCGGCGGCAAGCAGGTCATTTTTTCTCTCTCGTCCAAAGCCGCCAAGGATTGCTCGAAACCCGCCTGGCAATGACAAGGGTTCTTTCGAAGGAGATTGGGAAAGTTGCACAGAGCAAATCTCAGAAACTACCGCATCGAAAGAACTTGGACCTGGCATGTCTTGGAAGCTGTCATGAATTTGTTTCAGAGGTTTCAAGGATCTGTTGATAGCGCAGGGCGCTTCCGGAGCCATACACACTGGCACAAGCCATTGCCAGCAGCTGTGAGCCCCAAATCAAGAATCAAGATGCCCCAGCCCTGAATGCCACAGACAGAATCCTATGCTCTGACGTATCGTGGCAAAGAAATCTGTAGGCCTGATCAGCACGGGGGTGTTAAACGTCTTAGATGCCTCAGACCAGCGGGGGCACGGCTTGCCGTGTCCTGAAATGGCCTCTCATCCAAAAAGGATGACTCAGATGGGGAATTGTGGTATCCCCGCGCCAGGCTGCAGGAAGCTTCGGCTTCGACTCAGGTGCAGCTCTGGGAGCCCAATACCCTTAAACTCAATGAACCATATTAAGGTTTGCATTATCATTTTGTGTAGGGCATGTTCCTTACTTAAGGGGCTTTGGGACCTTGTTACAACCTTAAGCCCTAGACCAAAAGCCGTGATCTGTCTGTTGCCGATTTTGCGTAATATTTGGGTTGTGGGGTGCATTCTCCTGCTGTCAAACACGCGGCTCACTAACAGAAATACTTCTTCTAGGTGCACAAGCGGGTGGCCCATGTAGGGACCGGCGAGATATGTCTGGAATACAAAAGGATTCTGGGGCCGCACTCAAAACTTTTACAGAGATGAAATTGAGAAACTTCCACTGACACTTCTTCCAACCCATTGCCCACCTTCCTCCATTCCCAAGAAAAGACGTGGCAAACTTGCAGGCAGCGTGGCAGCATTCTCACCTGCGGCAGGGCTCAAGCAAACTCCAGGCAATAGTCGTACCAGGAAAGTAGGTCTGGAAGGTAGGCTTGTGGTTCTGAACCTGCATGCACCTTGATGCCCTGAAGGTCCCGACATCCTCGACAGCAACCTATTTTAAGGCTGGGCAATACTAAAAAAACCTAAAACCCCACATATGGTTGCTTTGAGACCATCTCTCACAATTTGGGGCGGGGTTGGGTGAAGTCATTCTCATTGATGCTGTTTAGGCGTTGGACGGGCAAAAAAGGCTTGGGACACGAGCCTCAACCAGTTTTGGAATTCAAGGTTTCGGGCAGGTGTCAGGGTTTAGGGTTTAAAGCCTGGGCTTAAGAATTTTGTGTTTATGCGAGTTCCGCGCGCACACACACACAAACCATTGAGAGGAGCTTTCGCAGATACAGATACGTGAATGACAGTGCTAGTAGGCAGGATGAGAATTTCTGTGAACTTCTGCATATCTCCCAGCTCTTCGGATGATCCTCATTCCAGCATTGCCACTCTTCCATTGCCATCTGCACAAGTGTCGTTGAAGTCGTAATCTCGTGTGACATGGATCTGGGATAGGAATAGCACCCAATGCATGGTCACACGAATCATCATAGCGAACCAATGTCGTCACAACGATGCACCTAAGGGACACCCATGCAACTAACCAACTTACTGTCTGCGGCAAAGGGGGTCGCCGTAAGCAGAGTTTCTGTCGAACATTGAGACTTGGGGTTGTATTATTGGGTTATATTGGGGTTATATTGCGACAATGGAAAAGAACATGGAAACTACTATAATTGGGTTATATAGGACTTAGGGGTAAGCAGTGAGGAGGCCGTCATGGGATCCCAGGCTGCATACACCGCCTCCTTGCCTGCCACAAGCCCAAATCCCTCAATCCATGCTGCAAGCCTCCTCATCCTACCTCTACAGGTCGGAGTACCCAAATTGTAACGAATGTCATGAATTTGGTCCGAGATTCATTTAAATGGGAATCTAATTACTTGAGGTGGAATTACAATTCTATTTGGCACTTGGGCTCTAACTGCGCTGCAGCTCTGCGACTCTAGCGGACAGACGGTCTCCACACTTCATCCCTAAGCTAAGCCGGGGTGATACGAACTGTTTACATAAAGTAGTACTTATGCATGTGACAGGGCCTGGTGAGAACTTGGTTTTTTCCTGCATCCTAAGCGCCCTATATAAGCACTTCAGTGGCGGGGGTGTCCCAAATTAGGGGTAGACATATCTGTACATAATATAACATATATATATATATACATACACACGTATGGGTTATGACAGGGTTGTGGAGGTCTTCTATTCTGCATTAAAGAGTATAATCTTAAGATATACCTCCCTTCAAGCCGAGGCACAAGCAGAGATGACAGCGCCCAATGCAACGGCATCGGCTTGGAGTCCCCTAGACATCATGTCCTTGCTTGGAGGTCCATGCGTAGAAAACGCCTACTTATGACTGTACATATAACCCAAATATAAGTATAAGCCTATTTGCAGTCTTACGGAGCCTATACTACTTGGGTTGCGTGCAGTTATTATGAGTAGACTATAATTGTCCAGGCAGTTCGGACAAAGCCTCTGGCTGTTGCTAGGATTCGGGCTGAAGGCCACTGGACGTGCCAAACACACAGAATCATGATCTATATAAACAAGTCTAGTATTCTGGGGTTGAACACTGATGATTATGCGCGATATTTAGGAATCCTAGGTATGTGTTTGTAGACATGGCCGAGTGCAACCCCTCATCGCGATACTTTACCCCAAAAACCGAACATCCTAAACCACAAGTCCTAAAACCCCTAAACCCTAGATCCTAAACCCATCCCCAATATATAGCCCCAAGCTTTAACGCGCCAGGCAGGACTCCTCGAAGAGAAGGAGCGCGCTCTTCCACCGGGCCTCATGGGCACAGGCCTGGACGCGCCAATCTCGGATAAGAATTAATGTTGGCGTCAAGCATGTTACGAAACACTGGTGCTACCTCAGGGCTCCAGACAGCCCAAAGTAGGTCATTTCATGCACCCCGAATAAACCACGTCTTTGGGAACCTCAAAATCCCTCAACCCACAAGTCCCGCAAACTGAAGGTTGTACAGTGCTTTGAACTTTTTTTGGCGGGTAGTACAGCCAGGGTTGGGTAGGGAGCTCCCAAACCTCCACCTCAAAAACCCAGACCCTAAAGATGGGTTGGAGTGCACTAAACATGGAGACCTGGAGCGCTGTGTCAAAGGTGACTTCGTCAGGCCTCCAAGGGAGCCATCACTTGGGCATTTCTCGAATAGGGCTTCAGGTGTAGAACTTTCTTCCGGATATCCTGGCCTCCCAACTGTGTTGTTTAGCGTCTAGACATTGTTTTAGGGTTTGGACTACACAGTCTGGGTCTACGGTTTAAACACAGTTTAGGGTCCAGGTGCTGCTTGGGGTTTGGGGTTTGGATGCGTTTAGGGCTTAGCCTATGTGGACGAGTAGAAGGGACTGACTCAAGGGGAAGCGGTGGATTTTTGCGGTACCTTTACATAGGGTTCAGGGCTTAGGGTTGTGTGGGCGTATACATATAGAGAAAGTGAGAGAGATCGTAAGGATGGAAGTGGGAATATGCAGCATCTCATGTCCACTGTGGCTGGGTGTGTGTGTGTGTGTGTGTGTGTGCATGTGTGTGTGTGTGTGTGCTTGTGTGTGTGTGTGTGTGTGTTTGTGTTTGTGTGTGTGTGTGTGTTTAAGCAAGGGCTACAGGCGAAGGCAATAAAGGGGCTAAAGGGGCGGTTATGCGGTGATTGTATAGGTCTTATTGTACCATCCACTCCCCCACTCTCCCTTAAACCCGGAGCTCTAGACTCTAGACCCTCAACCCTAGACCCTAATTAGTAGTTTGCGTTTTATTCTCCGTTATCCCAATATAACCCCAATATTATCCCCCCCAAAAGGAACAAGCACCAGTGAGGTAAGTCGAAATCCGAACCTTTGATGCCTCGTCCAGGCTGCATCCATCTCCTCCATGAGCTGCAGGGCCACTGACATCGCCAACCCCTGCACTGGCCCGGTGATGAGTCCGCTTTGGTGTAGCTTCTAGTTGCTGAGTTCCCTGGCTGCAAACAGCTTGTCCTTTTCAGTACGTAGTCTAGTTCTACACCCAAAAGTTCATGGTGAGCTCAACGGCCACTATTTGTAAGGCATACTTGGAGAAACTCCCAGCCCTCAACCCTAATTATACTGTTATACACTTGTATCCTCAGCTATAATCTATAACCTCCTTTGGCGTGTGTGTAGGAGTGTGGGATTGGCTGAATGCGGCTTCCTGGTTTCGGCAGGGTTTCAGGAGTCTCTCTGTCCACGCCTTCGTCTCACCCCATGTGGCATGTTGCGGGACAACACACATCACATTGCCCTATATACCTTTTCTTGAGTGGCTGAAGGAAATGATTCTGCAAATTTAGGAGGTCTACGTAGGCCTTTGAACTCAAACTCGACTCAGAAACGCGACATCTTGCAGCGGCATCCGTAGCCTTGCAGCACGCGCTGATGATCGCGTTGTACGTGATGCGGTCACCTTCCCCATAGCCTTGGATCCATACTCCGCTAGTCATAGTTCTTTTCCTTGCTTTATTATTGTACTGAACTCGGAAAATCTGTTGAATCATGTTAGCAGGGGCTGGACAGGTTTCATCACTGGGGTAGGGGTTCACAGGTGAACATACTTAATACTATCTGTTTGCCACCTTCCAGACTTAGCTCCGAGAATCGGGCTCGTAGTAGTGTCCAAATTTTAGAAGCCGTGAAGCTTGGGGACGACGTTTCCTGAGCCTGGTTGCTGAGTTCCCTGACCATGAAAGCCATTGTAGCTATGCTAGGATTACATCCAGAAACGTTTAGGGTTAGCTACCTGGCTACCCAGCCACTCAGTGAAAGAACGAGTGCCGCAGGGTCCTCAACGAATCTGGAACCGCAGCCAGAGTGATGAGAAGTCTTGAATCGAGAAGTTGGTGCTGAATAAGAAGTGGTAAAGGGAGGGGTAATCCGCATCTTTAGTGTCTAGGGCTTAGCACTTGGCGTTTGGTGTCTAGGGTTCTTAGACGTAGGGATGTAAGGATTCCTATTGGTAGTTCCGTAAGGCATTTCCCTACTGAACGCCAAGGAGTATATACCACCTGCTTCTCGCACCTTCGGCAGCTAGCTAGCAACCATCGAATTGTAGACGCTGCGTTCATTCTTGCATGCTTGCATGCTTCACGTTGTCAGGTCTCACAGTTCTCTCGTCGGGACTATGCGACGCCCCCCACACAACAACATGCGTTCTGAGCAGTCTGGCGGCCGTACTGCAAGCTGGACAGCAGCTGCAGGCCCTCCTTTGCCAGCAGTTGGAGACATAACACTTCAACAGAGGAGCCCGGAACAGTCCTGCCCACACTACTGTCCATCGCAGTACAGTCACTCTTAGATTGCACCGGCCAGGTGCATCCCGCATCCAGATGATACAGGTCCAAGAAATATCCACCATGACTTGAAGGATGGATTGAAACAACAACATGCCCTATACTGTGAGGGGCCCTAGAATGTCAGAACATCATCCTACGTAGTCCCTGCACCTAGTTGCTCAGTCCCCTGCCTGAAAAGAAGGTGAATCTCCTCATGGTAAGATTACATATATCCAAGCTGGTTAAAGGTGAGCTACAGGGCTGCTCCAGCCACCAAGTATGTCAGTATATCCTTGTGTCTTTAAGTCCCTCATTGCCCTGAGGCTAGGCTCGGAGTTGATTCAAAAGATACCCACGTTGACACGGCTTAGTGTCTAGGGTTGAGGGTTCAGACCTTAAAGTCCATGAACAGTAACATGAGACTTCCCCCCAAAAAGTGATGTCCAATTTGCATGGCTTCCCCCCCAATATCAGGAGAACTAGGTAGGAAAATATCCCATATGAGCTCTAGTCTAAACTCCTAGTATCCCCCTTAATAACCCCCATATCAAGCTACTGTCAATGTTCCTTGCAGACAGGCTCGGTCATCTGACTCTCTGAAGGGTTCAGAACTTGGTGCTTCCCGCTCTAGGAGTCATGGACTACCTCGTAACCCCTATATAACCCTATATGATAGTAGTTTCCATTCTATTTTCCGTTATCAGTATATAAGCCCGATATATAATAGTAGTTACCCACTGGTGACCGCATTTCGTGGGTTCCAACCTTGATTGGCCTGAACTCTCCCTAAATCAGCATGGTCAAGAGGAAACCTTTGGGTGGGTAGCATGTGCGGGGGAGTCATTGGAAAAACATCATCATTGAAGGGCCTATGCTGCACGTGCTCAGTGGAAGGTGACCATATTCTTGCTCTATATTAGGGACAGAGGTTCTCATATAGAAAACCATCCAACTCTATGTGAGAATCATACGGGTCCCCTATTCAGATAGTCCTTTAGGTGTAGCTTGGCCTTCCTTATTGGGTTCTGATGAAAACAACACATCCAACAATCAGCCCGATACTACCCTGATCAGAAAACATCACTCCAGTCCGGAACCCTACACCACTAGCCTTCTGAATCGAGAATCGGTATATAGGCTATCCTTAGGGTATACAGGAGGTAAACTTTGAAACGCTCCCAAGGTCCTGCCAGCGACTGCTCTTCTCACATGCACTGATAGCCGCAGAGTAAGCCACCACGTCCATGGTCAGCTGTCTGGCCACCATGTCCTGCTACGCATCTGCCACTCCCACAGCTTCTGTAGTGTAAGTGCATGCACACCACGGACGCATAAGTTTTTTGTCATTGCGTATCAAGGCCATGCTGAAAGATCTTTCTCTCTTTATGACTTGCGGTGACATGCTTTTCATACCTTGCGTGTCAGATTGGCATCTTTTTAGGGACGAGAAGCCTTAGGGCCTTAGGGTATGGTTTGATCTTGGTGGGGGTCTTAGGTGTTTGTAGTCGTGAATGAACTGGAATCCCATCACAGGCGGCTGGGTAGCTTACAGGTGGGTGGGTTGGCTCCCAAGGGCTTCCATACCCAAACCACTCCTGCCAGTTATGGGGATCTTTTGGGACTCGTTATAGCTTGTGGGAGTACTATTGGAACTACCCAGCTGCAATCGACCCACGTGCACAAGGCTTCCAATTCAGGTTTTGCAGTTCAGGCATGATGAAACTTGACTCCACTTTCGGCTTTTCTTTGGGGAATGTACAAATGGCTCAGGAATTTGAGGAATGACGTTTTCTGTGTAATGGCAACTTTCTATTTGGAATTGTCAGTTCTGCAGCACTCCCACTGGCTGCATACAGGTGGCCGCAAGAAGGCCTAGCGCAGACTCCCATTGCGCGCCCTTCCTCGGAGCGGGTTTTGGAGCTTCCATCAAGTGCAAGTGCCACGAAACGAGAGGTTCTGGTATTTTGGGGTGAACTAGGGGCAACCCTGCTTTTTGAAAGGCCCATTTGGAAGCGTCAAATATTTTGCCACTTTTTGGACTTCTGGCGCTGGGGCGAAGTTTGGGAAGCTGGTTTCTCATTGGAATCTGCAGGATTTCTGGTCAAGGTGCAGCTTCTGAGGACAGCGTAAAGGAAAGCAAGGCGTGTCGACCCCGGGCAGTGAGAGGGGCTATGAGAGCCTTTCAGGCGGCCTTGTGAAGGATGACGTATCAGCCCCGGCTAGATATATTACGAAAAGTAATATTCTTAGTCAATGGTACGTAGGTTTCAGACACTATGAGATATCACGTGGTCACAGCTTGACTCGATTTTGCCTGCCCAGACCACTACACAATCATGAATGCAAGCTACGTGACAGCCTTGCACGGGCTTTCGCTGCTCGATGCAAAACTATGTAGGGTCCAAGATTTCTGCACAAGTCATGCCCGGAGGTTCATGGGTAGCTAAAGGTGGGGTTAGAGTAGGTGCTAACCGTGGTTCAACCCAAGCATCCAGTCCCACTTTTGGCTCCCCAGGAACCTCTCTAAGTGCATCCGACAAGCAACATTTGGACCGAAGCACAACCCTGAGCTTGCAGCCCATCAATGTCTTGTTGCTAGCTGCTAGCTATTTGACAAACTTCTGGGTAACTCTGTGGGGTTTTCTCAAGATGGGGGGAGAACCTTTAGGGCCGAATGTGGCGTGCAGAAGGTCTTTGGAAAAGCCACTCTCCGCCCCACCCGGACACTCCAATGTCGCACCTGGGGGCGGTTCTTACAAGCCTCAAAACCCACAAAACACCAGACCTCAAAAGCAGTCTCTTTGTAGCATCCAGGGAAACCCTTGGCCCCGCAGAGCTATGAGGCCGAGCATCTCGCATGCGCTGAGGGCGGCGCTGCAGGCAATCAGGTCTGGCTTGAAAGACCTGCTGGGGCCGCCAAACTCTTCGTTACCTACCTAGGGCCTATCAGGGAATGGATGAATGAATGCATTAGAAACCCCTATTCAATCTCCATTTTGCTTTCCATGACTTATTCGCCTATTCCTATTTCCTGCTCGGCACCAGAAAGTTCGGGTCTGCGGTGCGGTTAACTGAGCGCACATCAGGCATGCGCCCTGCAGACACAAGAACAAAACTCTCTTCTCTCTACGTGCAACATTTCGCCACAGGGTAGATTCCTAACGGAGCCCCAAACAAGACAATCCTCCCTGCGCTGTACAGTACCCTCTTCACAGGGGAATATACAAAGGAACTCAATGTTGTCAGAGGGTTTGTTCTGACAACTTCCACACAAGACCTCTGCGCCAAAGAGCTTAGTGACCACACAATGAGGGGGTTTAGTCAGGTGAAGCTATACTCGCTATACAAAAGACAGAAACCAAGTGGAGAAAGCAATCTTGCGTTGGGCACTAACGAAATTACTTTAACAGATAGTCGGGGTAGTGTGCCCTGGTAGTAGCCCCTGTAAAACGCCTAGAATGTCTCCCCCAGTCCCCCATTTCCAACTAGGCATGAGTATAGGCCCCAAACCCTTAACCTTCAAGCCGGGCCTGATCCTAAACCGGAAATCCTGGACCCTAAACACTCAACTTCTCAAATGAGTTGGAGGCCTGGCTTCCAACTCCTCCAGCAAGCTAAGAGCTAACTCCCAGTTCTGGCCACCTTAGACAGCGGACAGCTTTGTAGCCACTGAAACCAGGCGGTTGTCAACGGATGGCGCGTTTCGCAAGATGTGAATCCATCAAGGGGTTGCTGGGATGTATAGGATGTGGGATTCGGGGATTAAGATTCAGAATTTGAGGTTTGGAGCGCAGGGCTTTTCAAAGCAGGGTTACGCCGGTGATCCGAGTCTGGGAGTCTTCCGTTCCTCTCTCAACTCTTCTTGCTGGTGCTTATGGGGGAGTGGGGGAACGGATCCCAATAACTATCCCCTCAAAAATCACAAATGCCCCCATATATGTCCCTATGATAGCATCTACATTCACATCTTGAGAACAAACGTGACCAACCTGATATCCTGAGCCCAGAAACATCCATGCCCTCAGAGCTGATAATAATACTAATAGTAATAATAGTAAGAATAATAGTAATAATAGTAATAAGAATAATAGTAATATAATAATAGTAATATGCTGTTCGCACAGGTCTAGGCTGCTGGGCTTCAAATGTTTTGATCTGTGTTGCGAGGCTGTTGGCAATTCCGTCTACCAAAGCCTGAAGTGGGTGCGTCTCCAAATCACCCAAGACAAATAGTAGCTTCCCCAAATAAAGGGAACTCCAATATAGACACGAAAGTACTATAGTTCTTATAATTGGGACTACCCCTAATTTTGGGAAACCCCCACGTGCGTAATCATCACACATCCCTGGTTAAGGAAATTCAAAAATGGTTTTCCCCCGAATGGAGTTTCCCAAAATTAGGAGTACATTTTTTGGGGGGCCCCTTCATGAGGATTTCAATGCATTGGGGTCCCCCTGTTTTGGGAAACTACCAAATATACATGCAAGTCCATAGACTCCCCTTTGAATTCACTTTGCAGGGGCTGCTTCGGGCTCCTATGTTACATGGTGGGATGGTAATCCCTCCTGGTTCAAACTGCGCCGCTCTCGCACGCCTTGATTGCCGCTCCATAGGAGACCTCGTCCGCCTTGTCCCAGGACAGGGAAGGCTACTTCGAGCAGGAGGATCAGGTGGGTGAGAAATTCATGCAGTTTGCAAAAGCGCTTGGGTGCGCCAAAGAAGGGGGTCAATCTGCAACGCTGACGTTATCACAGGGATCACCCAGATGGCCCAACACGCCTGCATTCATCTAAGCATAGCTATACACAACGCTAGAAAACCTAGCGTACGAGGTATATTCCTTGCTTGAGGGATCTTGAACTCCCCTGGTAGAACATAGCAACGGGAACGGGCTTTCACCGGAGCAGCTGAACATTACGCTGGTCTTCCCGCCGTCCTCTTTCTCCTTGCCCATGCTTAGTTGGGATTGTGTAGTAGTTACTAGTCCTTTGATAGTCCCTAAACCCTCAGACTGAAGCGGATTCCGTCTTCTTTTCCGCTTTGCCATTCTCAGATAAGCCCTGAACCCCAAACCCTTAATCATCGTACTTGTCCTTTCTTTGCCACTCCTCATTCCTGGACGCACCCTGAATCCCAAGCCTTGAATGCTAAACCTTAAGCCTAAGCCCTCAATCCCAAATCGTATGCCCTAAGTACTTTTGAAGTCTTCCGAATGGTTGAATCCAAGCTCCTGGCCTCGAAGGAAGCCCTGCGCATGTCAGCAAAGTGGTGCAGTGACTGCTGCCACTGCTGACCTACGGTAGGGCCCTAAATCATTGCAAGAGGGTTGAAGGGTAGATTTTACGATGGTTGTATGTGGGATATAAGGAGATAAAGTTGGAAATGTTCAGGCTACTACCTTACACGCCCAAAGTAGTTCCAACCTCTCCCTAAGCACGCTAATGCGGTTCTCAATGAGTCATACGTTATAAGCACTGACTATTATAAGTGGCTCATCACTACCCATGGACCTCCAAGAAAGCATGAGTAGGTGATTGCAAGGAGGCCTAGCTGCTTCATCTCAAAGGCTTAAGGGCTTCGGGGCTTCAGCTCTTTGGGCTTCAAAGGTTTCAAGGCTTCAGGGGTTGACGGTTTGCTGTAGGTTTAAGGCTTTACGGGTTTTAAGCATCTGCATTTTTGAATTTACGGGCTTCAGGGTTCAGGGTCCTGAGCTTGCGGGCCTTCGGCCAGAGCGTTGATGATGCAGTTGTAGGCGCTGGTGTCCAGCGGTAAGCTGCCCTTCGCGAAAGCTTGCAGGGTTTGAAGACGGGCCATGGTATTAAGAGATGATGGTTCAGAGTCCCAAAAGAATGCGCAGTAAAAGAAGCTATACAGTCCACACCTAGCCCTATGGTCCCTCATGATATGCTCTTTGCGACAACAACCACATAACCAGAATCAACAGCAACGCCCATTAGATCTCGGACTTCGGAAGTCTCTCAAGTAAGATACAATCTTCGAATCTAAGTTTGGAACTACGCACTACCCAATTTTATCCATCCCAAACAAGACCGCTCGCCGGTTTTCTTTTGTTCGCTTGAACATGTGATCAGAATCTAAGGATGAAGGTACCGAAGCCCATCCTCCCAAGGAGCGGCGCGTGGTTAGGAACTTACATCCAACGAGGAAGTGCAGGCTTAGGGCGGCGCATGTGCTCGTGTCTCAAATGAGGGGAATCGTTTAGGGCTCCCAGGCACTATTTGCGGTCATGAGGGGACGATTGCCGGGATTAGATGGGTCCTCATCTGAGATTACGAGGGAACTCCCATGTCTATATAACAGGTAAGCAGCTGAAAGCATCTCGTTGGCAAGGGCCAGTGCCTGGCCCCAATGAGACTGCCTTGGCAGCACGCAAGACATTGCTACCGCCACCCAAAACCCTGACCATGCTAATAGTACTGGTAATACTAAAAGTAATAGCAGTAATAATAATAGTAGTAGTAGTAGGAATAACAATAGTATATTAATAGAAGCAATAAGAAATTCTGATGGTATTAAAGGCTAAAGGTCCTGAACCCTAATCCGGGTGCCGGCCTTGCCATTGATTAACACCTAATTAGCTGAGCGCCAGGGATTCCAGCACAACAAAGCCCTGCCAACCCGTAGTTCTTGCAGAACGACAGAGAGGGGATAGTTCACCACTCTCAGCGTAATGCGGGCAATACTGGAGATAATAGGAATAGTAGCCACAACCATCAGAACAACATTAGGCTGAATACTAACTGTTTTGATAGCAACAGCAAAACCATAATCAAGTTACTATGAAAATAGTGAACCCCCAAACCCGAAGCCTCAAAGACCTTCCACAAGCCTCCGATCTCATTATCCGGGTCCCACTAGCACTTGGAGGCGCAGAGATTAGAAGTACAATTAGCAGTAGGTAGTATTCACACATGCACCTCCTGGCGATCAATGAAGGCCAAGGATCTGCGCACATGCTGCTATGGCAGCGGTGTACACCACCGTGTTGGCCCCAGCTACCGTCCCTGCGGAAAATCTGGAGCACATGTTTGAATAAAGTAAGATTACGTCCTACTAATAAAACATTGAAATCAAAATTGCGATATTCATCTTACTTTATACCGGTTTAACAGGCCACTCATGTAGTGGAATGCCAGCATGACGTCTTGAAAAGAAATTCACCCGCCTCGGCTCTCTTCTAAGAGGCGCAGGGCCCATTGCCAAAGACCTCAGCCCAGGGTAATTGTTTGAACACGATAAGATCGGAAACCTGATACCCCTGCAGTTGTGGCAGCTCCTTCTCCCAGCTTGACAGCTTGCATACAGTACAACCAGCTAAGACTGACGTGTAAATCCGGCTGGGCTCAAGCACGGAACTCTGAATCCTAAATCTGGTCACTGCCTGCTGACACGAGCACCGGGATCTGAGCACGACAAGATTGCTGAGCTGTACGTCACCTGCGACCAACAAGTGTTGACATGCAAACCTGCTGAAGTGTGTATGTAGTGCTCCAGACATATTCCTTATTGTTAGCGTGCCCGCCTTGCTACTCTAGCGCATCATCGCAACAGATTGACGAGGATAACCCCAACTCTAGCCCCAATTTGAGATTACTACCAGCACGTGGATGTTACATCCCTCAATGACAGGATCCAATCTTACACTAACTACCAAGACTTCAACAAGCTACTGACAACGTGCCGCAGCTGAATGTCGTACGGTCTAAGATTACCTGCTGTTGCTTAGTTAAAAAAAGATTACAACAACTATTCCTGTGGAGTTACGTAGGGGCTGCTTGTGGCATTCCCCCCAATCCTACTAAGCATGAGTAGGTGTTTAGCTTTATTCAGGTTCATGTCCAAAATTGGTAGTGTACACCCGAAACTCTAAACTCTATTGTAGTTTCCATTTTGTTTCTGTTATCCCCATGTAGCCCCTATATAATCCCCATATAACCCTAATAGTCCGGCCAACATGACCAGACAGCCCCATAACCCTGTACCTACTTGCCCAGTTCGCTGGGCTGAAAGTTTGACTGTTCGATCTCCCCAATGGTAATAACAGGAGTCATAATGATAACAGTACAAATAGCAATACTAACAATAATCTTAATAACAATAGCAATAATAGTAACAATAATTCTAATGGCAATAAAGGCTAAAGGTTATCTACCTTAGGTGGAGCCCCCACACTGCAATAGTGGTATAGCAGGAATATAAGAAGACCCTAATACGTTCCTTATTTTCTCTCATAGTCACCATTACAGATTGGGCGGTCCTTGTAATATCCACCCAACCAAAAAGTCTTGATGCAAGAATTTACCTTAAATCTGGGAGCCTCTACCTCCAAGAGTCAAGTGCTGGCCAGCCAGCCAGTAAGTTATTTGGAGAAGCCAAGCCTACAAATTTGCCATGTGCCTCTAGGGTCCGTCTAGCCCTAGAGCAACAATGGAGGCAGCTTAAACATCATATCCTAAACTCGAAATCCGGAACCTTTGGGCCAAGAGAAAAATGCAGGCGAAGAGAACAACCCGATGGCAAGCTTACTTGTGCTTAAGGGGGGAGGGAGCAAAATCATGTACTATAACAGCACTATACATGGGGGTTATCTTTGCAATTCTTTGGAGAATTCTAGAGATCTACTCTCCACCCCCCCTTTAAGCGCATGCTGGATTGGGGGTTAAGACTAGTGCCGTCGGGTAAAATTAGAGGCAACCCTGGGGATGTAGTGCTACGGACCCTTTGAGTGGCCCCTGCTTAAGGAAGCAATGTGAAGACAGAAGGATCCTTAGAAGAGGGCACAGCTGAAGGGTACCCCAGGTCCTCCCACCCCGATGAACGTGAACAAGGCAGAATCTGGCGCACTTCTTTCCCGCAGTTATTTGTGGTTTGTGCATGCGCCTTATTGGATAAAAGTGCTTTCTTAGAAAGCACCTTTTTGCTTGCTGGTTGTTACGGGATGGATCCCGAAAGTCGTCCTATACTATGCTGAATAATCAGTCTGGTAGTTTTCATGTACTTTTTCAATCCTCCATTCCCTACTAACCAGCAAGTTCGCGGGGGCTTCTCAAAGTCATGATGCATCTTTGGTCTTCACACTGTGGCAGCGTCACCGTGGCTGAGCAAATATTCTTTTCTGGTTTGACAAGCCACCGCTTCCGCAAGATTGCAAGAGCGATAAGCTGAGCGTTGATGCTTCGCATTGGAATGGCAAGGATGAAAGCTTCACCCTCCGGGCCCTTGCTACCCGGACCCCCAAAGTATCTTACTGGAATTGTTGCCGTTATGCCCGCAACACTACTAGGTGCTCGGCCTTCATTTTGTCGTTTTGTTTTTTTGGAGGGGGGGGGAGGTGTCTCAAGAATAAGACACGTGACATGGAACATGACCTGCAGGCCGGTCTAAGACGGAAACAGGAAAGCCACAAACTTGAGACTTTCACGCTAGCTGCTGCGTTCCCCAGACCCAGATATGGTTATTTTTGGTCATGGCAAAATTACATGCGACCAAACAAGGTAAAGTTTAACTACCGGATACTAAGTATCTTCGCACCTGCAATGTTCATGGGGCAGGACTCAGCTTACTGGTCCTGAAGGAAGATGAGCTTAGGTCCGATACTGACTGTTTGCATTCATCCACTCTCCACCAGAAAGTCAGAGCATTCTCATTCCACCAGGCTCTAGCTAGAATCAGGGCTTCTTATAGCTGTTTTCATTCTGCTAAGACTCCACGAGGAATTCAAAACTCGAATTTCTCGTGTTATACCAAAAATGAAACAGATTCCTAAACCAGAACTCTTGATCTCAATGTTTGTGGAAAGGGCCAATGTATTAGGAACTCTCTGTCTTTGTCCCCCGACCGCTACAAAGTTAAAACGGATCCTGTGCGTAGCTTTTTGAGAGGACCCGGTAAGCCTGCAAACGGCTCCAACTCAACAGTATTACTTTGCTTCGTGTTACATTGGGTCTTGGGAGGTCTAGCTCAGTCCTGGCACAAGCAACCTGCTAATTGCTGTAGAATCATGCAGACCCAAAACGGTTCTGGGTGTGCCACCCGGCTAGCAACAGTTTAGAACCTGGGTTGAGTTCACCCATTCATCTTTGGATGAGCCTAGTTGCAAGGAGAACCTGGCGGCATCATAAGGGGTTGTAAGTCGTGCACCCACGAAATAAGCTTCATCCACCAAAACAAGCCTTAAACCCCTCAATCCTAGTCAACCCTAACCCCGAACCCTGCACTCTTAACCGTTCAAGGGCCCGGCACACGGTTTGGGGAATCAAGCGTTAGGACGTGCTGGGATCTTAGTGGTTTAGTGGTTAAGGGGTCTTTAGGGCTTTGGGCTGGGACCTTAGTCGATTAGTGGTTTAGGGCTTTGGGTTCAGGGGCGGGTACTACTGGATTGGACGCATGGGGCTTCCAACAAAAAGGGAAACGCGTACAATCCCTGCCCTAGTTGTTGGAAACCCCCAAGCTCCCTGTAGAAGGCCGTCATTGAAAAAAAAGGGTCAGCAGCAGAAGGACTTACCTCGGCCCAGCATCTGAAGGGGGGTTATCTAGGGGTCATATTGGGGTTGTGCAGGGGTCGTATTGGGGTTCTGTGGGGTTCCACTATTTGAAGTCTTTTGGGTTTAGGTGCCAGGTTTTGGAGGCCATCTACAGGTTGGTAGTTATCAGGTGGGTGGCTTCCAGAACGCAAAAAGCCTTCCATAGATCCTGGTACTCCAAAGCAGCGGTGTAGAAGGCCTATGGGAGACTACTAGCCAACCAGCAAAGGGCGTCTAAGTTTGCGCTTCTTACTTCACGTCGGGAGTTACCCTTACATAAGGCTTTTACACGGCTCATCTGGGAAGACTGCGCTTGATGTGGGAAACTACCCACCTAACGTTTGTTTGATGGGAGCTGGCAGCAAAGAATGGAACAACACATGAAAGCCATTATAATAGTGCAGGGAATGGGTGAATGGAAGTGTGGTCTACTATTTAGGGTTTGGGGTTGAGGGATGTGAGTAGGGCCTGAAGGAATGCAATATGTAAACATTCCCAACTAAGCACCAGTAAGCCAATGGACTTTGAACTTGGAGCCCTTGAACATCAGACAAGGCTTTGCAGATGTGTCGACGGATTGCATTGATACTTGGGGATGGGGCTTTAGGACCAGGTGGGTATGGTGTGTATACCACAGGTTATCAGCTATCTATCTATAATGAGAACTGGTTTTATGAGACGAACTATCGGATATTACCTGCCTGTCACTCAGGTCTTCTCTACCTGGCCCTCTACCCTATAAACCATTAGACAATGCCGTATGCGGGCTGGCGAAATGGAAGCCAGACGGTCTGCGACATCAAGAGCTAGAATTTCATGCCTGGCACTGTGGACGCCCGAGCTGAGTACAAGTCCCGCAGTTAAGGTCTAAGTTTCTATATTCTACAGGTCTTGGGATTTAGAGCTTGGGGTTTAGGATTCAGAGATTCGGGTGTAGGCTTTTTTCTTGCGATTCAAGATTTAGGATTTTGTGATCTAGGGCTTTAGGTTCAAGCTTTATAGGACTTAGGATTCGTGGTTGGTCTGGGGCGTAGGAGTTAAGATTCAAGCCTTACAGCTGACGTAGCCGCCTCTTCTACCAAAAAGGGGCCCTGTGGCATTCCTTGCCATCTTTTAACTTAAGTAAGCGCTGAACTCCTTTGGCGATGTGATGCCGAAGGCACCTTGTGCGCCTCCCCCTGCCCGGTGTCGAGTCCGCTCTATCTTCGTCTCTTCACCACTCTCCCTGTGCACATCAAACCCATTCCTGCAATCTGGGCCCCATGCAAACATCCGAACCACGTATGGTCATTTGCTTTCAGATCCCAAGCCAGGGAGAATAGGTGATGCTTGAGTAGTATTGGAAGAACCATTAACTTATAAGCCCAAATCCTCAACCCCAAGACCAAACTTGTGGGTAATTTAGACTCAAATCCCCAGCCGGGTGACAGGGCCGACAGCAGTCTTGGCATGGTCTGCAGCTGACACACTGAGAAGTCTCCCAGACCTCACACTATACCCTCCCAGCTTGTGTGGCAGATTGCTGGACGAAGGCTGGTTTCGAGTTGGATGTGTATACCTTCTGCCTAACCAAAAATTGCATCCGCAACTTGAGCTGCTTGAAGACTGCAGTACTTTCGCACAGAGGCTACATGAGGTTCCATGGTATTTAGCAGGTCATCAGGGGATGCTGCACACTCTATAGGTTTGATGGAAGATTCTTGCTCCGGGTTCTGAAGATCACATTGCACAGATTCAGCTTCTTGAGCAGCATCAAATCTAAGGCTCCAAACCCTGAGCCCTAGGGGTTCAGGCATTCGGGATTATGTTTTGAGGGTCGGAGTTTAGGTGTAAGCTTTCGGGCAGAAAGAGTCTGCCAGCCTTGTGTCCTTCAACATTGTTCTCGCTTCGACCACAGGCTTGCGTGGTGCGAAAACTCACCGGTGGTTAGTATGGAGCGGAGGAATGGAGCCTGCAAATGATGGCTTGGGGCTATAATTATGGCGACGCGTGTGTATATACATATATATACACACATACATAGATATATATATATATACGTATAGATATATGCGTGTGTTTATGTACTTACTTAGCTTGATATGCATTTACATAGCAGTCCGCTACTCCGTTCCGCACTAACCACCATGAATCCTTGAGGGGGTAGTAGTTTGCCTCTTATTTTCCTTTCCTCCACTCCCTCCTAACCAGTATAAAAGGTTGAGACACTCATCAGAATCTACTGTTACATATGACTTGACTGCGTGCAGCAAGATGCTTGGGTGAAGGGCTAGACTTTGAGACCGTCTGTTTGCTGCTTGGGAGTTGGGTAAGGAAGCACTCCAGACATGCCAATAATATCTTAATAAGTACTAGCCAGCGTTCAGCTGGCCTCGTCGCGTGCTAAGCCCGCTCGTCATGCAGGCACCTTCAGACGGGCCAACTAACCATAGTTCAAGGGCCTGAATCTAAGCAATTTGGACCGTCCATCCAAAAAGCCAAGACCACTACGTCTGATGACGTCCACCTGGCATCTGGGCTTGTGTGAAGCCCTAACTCTATATCCCGAATTGCAAGGTAACACCCCGAAAACACCCAGACTTGAATGGCCAAGTGGCATAGCGGTGCGTTTCCGTGGCGGTGTTTATCATACGCTTCATAGCCACATCCGTCGTGGAGCAGTTGTGAGGATTCACCTGCTACTTCCAGTCTTGGCTGGAAAGGAATGCTGGTGGCCTTGGTTTAGGGGCTTAGGGCTTTGGTGGCAAGTGCAGCGTTAAGTCAGAGAGGTCATGAGCTATGAGGACGTTGAACGCAAAGCCCGGTTTTCACGCGGGACTTCTATGGGTCCTTGGTTTCTAGAACGAGCTGCTGGTAAACAAACTCTGCATGACTCTAAGCACCTTATGCCTTATACCTCCGGAGTATAACGAGATCAGGATTTGCAGTGTCAGCCATATTTGAATGGCCAATGCCTCCTCCCAGGCGCCGGAAACCTTCTGCTCCACCTTGCAGGGAGCTCCCAAGTTTAGCGAAAAAGAAAACGGAACCGGGGTTAGCGCTCCACTAGGAGAAAGGAAAGAATGGAAAAGACCGTGGAAACTATTACATTTTGGAGGGGGTTTTAGGGCTCGTAGGAAATGTGGAATGGAAAAGACAATGGTGGCTACTACGGGTTCTCGGGACATGATTTAAGGCATATTCCGTAATTGAAGGGCCCTTACTACGGAGGATTTAGATTAAAGAGGGCTTGCTTCGGATTAAAGAGGGCTTGCTTAGGGAAAGTTCTGCAATGTGAGGGCATTCAGGGCTTAGAAGAGCCTAGTTCCAGAGTACCCTGGCCCGAAAACAGTTAGCGCTCTTCTTCACAATAGGATGATATAGATCCCAAAACTTAAAGATTACTCACCCAACTACTCTCAAGGATTCTCCTGTTGTTTGGCAGTCCCACTATATTTTGTAATGTGAAGCTGTTCCCCTGCAACCCTTTTGAGTAGTGTTTGCGGCGGTTGAACCGAAGAAGCTACTGTTCTTCCTGCAAAAAACTATACCTCACCAAAGGAAATGGTCTTACTCTCTATTAGGGGCCATGGTATTCACGGACTTTAGTCGATCCCGCAGTTTCTTTGGGCAAAGGTGGCCAAATCAATTTCGAAGCTAGAAGGCCCCCCTGCCACAGTTTGGCAACGACACTGCTGGAAATGCTCATCACACCTAAACCCCTAAACAGAATGGGGTACCTCATTTTTGAGGAGCCCCACCATGTACAGGAGCCCATGCCAGGCCTCTGGCAAAACCCCCGAGCCATTGCACTTGCTGCAAGGCGTCTGTTCCTTAGGCTGAGAGGCTTTCATGTTTTAGGCCTCAAAACACATTCGCCACCACTTCCCTCAGACACAACCAGTGGACACACAGCCGTCACAACCCCATACCATCTTTCGTGCCAGACGGCACAGGGCAATGCAAATGCTACGACCCGCTCAGAGGGTTCAGGGCTGAGGGTTTGATCATCCTTGGTCCAAAGCTGCAATGTAGAGGTCTAAACATTTAAGAATAGGGTTTGGGGTATAGGACACTGTAGTTTTATGCGGGTCCTTCCTTTAGGTATTTGGTTGAGGCTTCCAGAGAAGTGGGCAAGAATCCAGATGAGTACTTTCTTCTCCTTGTGGCTCAAGCATGTACTAGTAAGATTGTGTTCTTCTGATGAAATACTACTTCATTTTTGGGAATCTCGCACCCTTATCGAAAATACCTCCCAAGTGTCATCTGTTCACCGCGGAACCCTTCCAAGGATCAATCACTTCTGCTTTTCGGGACATGTCTAGCACTCAACATGCTGCCCAGGTGTCTGCTGGTCCAAACATTCGCCAGGTCTCGACGGTACCTTTCAAGGGTTCCAGGGTAGGACCCCCAGGTTTGTATCGCCTTTAAGTAGCTTAGGGAACCGCGTGGGTTGGAAATAGAGGCGGTATTGGCATACCCTAAAACCTAAACTAAACCAAAGGAGGACCCCCCACCCTGTAATAGTGGTACAATAGGAATATAATAGGACCTTAATATAATCCTTATTATCCCTTATGGCCACTATTACAGGGTGGGGGGGTCCTCCTAAACTAAACCCATGGAACCCTTTGCACCTTTGCCGGAGCAGGTCTCGCAGGTCTGCTTCACCTGACGCCATGCTCAGGCTTAGGGTTACAAAATAGGGCGTTCTTTTCATCCCTTTACGGTTCCTGGGATGATTCTAGAAGGTGCATCCGGAGAAGTGCCCAAATGTCTACTCTTTCGATTTATCCCCACAGCTTGTGTACGTCTGTACCCAAACTTTAAACCCTGACCTTTTTTCAAATCATTCCAAGGCTTCAAACAAAGCCATCTTAGCACCATTTTGCATAGAGACCGCCATTTGGGGCGATGTCGTGGGGTTGTTACAACTGGCCCGTTTCCATAGGGCTTTAGGGGCAAATTATTCTGTAGTAATGGAAGGACGTAAGAGGAGAACCTGGCAAATACTGTTACGGCTTTCTACCTTACATATAACTCTTACCCACCTCACAGCCCAATGCAATTTTACATTTTGTTCTCAATGTTCTTCTCCATTATTACTGGTGCAAATTTTTCGTGCCTATAAAGCCCTGAACCCCTTGTGACCACTATAACACCTTCAAAGGGCCCCACTAACCGTCAGTCTAAACATTCAGGCTTCTAGATTGCGCCTTCTGGATCACAAATTTCCGCTGGACGAGCATTTTGGCTCCACAACTGGGCATGGATGAATGAGCTGAAGGGAGTTAGTTAGGCAACCCCTAGGGATATATCATATCATTTTTCTCCCTTGTATGGGGATGCAGAGGGAAATTTTGGTTTCTGGGGTTTCAGGTTTCGGGTTCAGGGTTTAGGATTTGGGGTTTATGCTGCAGGGCTTGGTTCAAGAGATTTGTCGAAAGTCTCTTATGTAGTTCCTTTTTGGATTCTGCCCCCCAAAGAAAAATTACACAGGAGCCCTCAGGCAGGACTTGACACCATACTGTTGCGATCAGACGTGTACAATGTCACAACCGAAGTCTGGGTGACTGTTAAGGACCTTAATTTGACTTACTATATTGGGGAAGCCATAATTATCACATATATCTATATATATACATGCACAACCATTCTGGTAAGTTAGTTTGAGTTCCGCAATAACAACCCAGAAGTCATTACCCATGGCACCTTGGGCAGATTTCGTCAGCCTGCTCCAGGGCATAGCTGCGAGCTGTGTCAGCTTGGGCGGGGACATTCCCCATTGCTTCAAAACGCAGGGGGCCCTTCAAGAACGGTCGCAGGTGCAAAGCTGCAAGCTGACGCTCTATAGTCACTTGGTGTAATGCAAGTTTCCAGAGTGCGGGCGCTGCTGCATCCACACAGCGACAGTCCCCATGCGAAAGTTGGTAGAGGCAATGAGGCAAGTCTAGGCTTGCTCAGACAGAAATATGTTTAACTCTTCAAGGAACTTTACGGCCTACCCAGCCTAACCTAACTAGCCTGTGCCGTTCTGCCGGACGGTCTACGGACCAGCTTGAGCACACATGGCTCCGGCCAGGTCATGAAACACCACCCCCTGGTCCGCACAAGGTGCTAAACGGTGCTGCCAACACTCTATGCCCAACATTTCGCTTCCGACTAATACTAAACGACATCCCCCCTAATGCTCAGTCAATATCATTCGAAGGGATAATTTCTGGCATGAATTAGATAAGACTGCCTTCGAAAGCTTTTTGAATAATACCATGGAAAATGAATAGCTAGTCAAATAAGTTAACTAATGACTATTGCATTAGCCAATAAGAATCTAGGGGAGAGGAGATTCCCAAAAAACACATAATCAGAACATGCAGCCCCTGAGCCCCAAATCGAAAGCCCTGTAACCTTTTAACGAGACCTAGGAGCCCTCTGTTACGATTCCAACCCCTGTGTAAACCCCTAGATGAGGCCAACTTCCATTAGATTCTCTTGTTTCTTGACCATTTGAGTTTCGTGGATCCAAGTATACAAATAATACATACATTGGTCATTGGGCCCTAAAGTCTGTAAACATCACCTACATTGGGCTATATGGATCTGCAGGGTAATACTTGCTTTAAGATATTGTACCGAAATTGGCCCCAGAACGTTGGCAGGGCAGAGGCTCGAGGGGCGCCAATGCTTACACCCTTGCCTCGTTCGCATCAAAGCCCTCGCGGCGAAGATCTCGCATCAGAGCCTTGGCGGAAATACGAAAGCAGATTCAAGAGCCTCTGAATGGTCCGTACCTCCAGGTAGGTATCATGCATAGATTGTAGGGCCCAAAGTAGGCATTGTTTACAGACTCAGAGCTGCAGATGTCTGCTCGTTTGGGAAACCTTCAGCTTCCGCAGCCCTCTTAAATCACCATAAATATTCACATATACCGAACAATCCGCAATTGCCAGCCCTCCCACAGCTAGGGTAGATTCCTAGAAACCCGGCAAATAGGACAAACCCTCCAAGAAGGACTCCCTTACAATGGGTTATACAAGGATTTCGAAGGGTTCTGTCATATGTGGGGCTCTACCTGCACTGTTCTCAGTCAGGTCGCAAGCGCCCCCCGCCACTCCCGCGCACGGGCGTACGCGCTTATTGCCTTAACCACATTTGACGATCACATGGGAATTTCTCAGAAAAGTAGGCCCGGAGCATTCGGGGATTATGGGATATAGAGATTATTTAGGGAGATGTTCGCATGCGCTCGCGAAAGTTATGTCATTATGCAGGCTTTCTGAAGGATTCGTTCAGAGCTGGTTTGGGGCTTAAGGTGGACGGGATACAGGCTTCGAGATGGGCTTCAGCATGTTGAGCCCTACAAACTCACTTTACGTAGAGGGGCCTGCCTGAAGTCATCGAATTCTTTCTGGACAAGTCAAATGCAAAGCCTTGCAAAGGGGTAGGCATTTCTGCCAGGCTACGGACTTTAAATCATTAACCCCAATGCCCTACAGTTTTGATATAGGGACCTCCCAAGGGACCGTGGATTTTGGGAAGCCCGGCACCCTTTCAACCTCAAATAACCTTACATAAGCCCTGCGTACTGCAACCCTATATACCCTCATATCACAACATACTTCCTGTTCAGGGACCACCATTTTGTCCAAGTCACTCCGTTGTACAGCACCAGGGTGGCTTGGCTGCCCTCCTGCGGCTGTGAGAGTTTTTCAACGTTCCTGATCGGGATACTAATACTGTACCAAGCTAAAAGCAAGATCCAACAAAGAACTCACAAAATGATCCCTCTGCTGTCATTGAGGCAAACCTCATATTCTTGATGGGTGTCCGAGTTGAGAGGTCCGAAACAGCCAACATGTTTTTCCAGCCCTTTCGATGAGGCATGGAAGCATGTTAAACAAAAAGTTTCCGACTGTTGCGAGACAGCTCCATGCCTTGCTGAGGCTGCCCAGCTAACCAATATCTCTCACGCTGGAAGCTGGACGTTGTTTTCCAGACGTTCGCCCGTGAATCATATTTGCTAAAAACGAAACTCCAGGTACGCACCACTATGACATGGCAGCCCTGAGTGCCAACATCTCATAAACATCCTTCCCAGTCATTTGTAGCATGAATGAATCAGAAGGAAAGTTTTTGTAACTAGCCCTTGCGCATCCCGACAGGGATACCATATCCTCTTAGTACCCCCCGACCAAAGGTTATTTGCTGGCATCCGATCCACCAATTGCCAACTGTCCCATGGCCCATTGCATCATTAAGACATGCATGCTGCTGAGGTCGTTGAGATTTTCGCCCCTTGCTCCCTGAGGTGTGGTGTGGTGAGTTTTCTTTCTCACTAACCCTCAGCCTGCATTTTTGCTGAAGTCATTCAAACCTTCCTTGCCCTTGTGGTGGCGGTGGCTGCCTTCTTTGTTCAGTAGCAGTCAGGATTTTCTGTTCACTGGTTTCCCCCTTGTGGTGTGGGTGCTTGTCTTCTTTCGCAAAAGCTTCCTCAAGCTCTATTGCTGAAATCATTCAGATCTTCCCCTCTGCACGTGTGGTGCGGATTTCTTCCTCCCAAAAATGTCAACATGAAATCTTTCTATCTCCCCCGCCTTGGGTGAGTGGATTTTTTCCTTCCCCGACTGTCGATATTCGCGTGGTTGACTGTTACGCCTGCAGAATCAAGATCTGCATTGTGCTGGGTTAGTCAAGTCTTCCTCCCCCCTGCAGTCTGGATACGAGTTTTCTACCTACCGTCTTCTGGGGCAGGCGCGGCTTGTGACACACTGCCCCTGTGGTGCAGGTAGATTTTTGCTGCCTCCTGTCTTCTGGGTAAGGGGCAGGTTGTGACAGAGTACGAACTACAAGCTGTCAGCATCATGCACATGCACGTCTGTCGTCTGTCGCCCTTGGTGTCAGCATGCCTGGAAGCGGGCTACACGAGCCAAATCGAGCAAACAAGGCGATTCCGCATTGGGATTTCCTCAGGAAATTCAGATCTACAGCACCTCATCCCTCTGAGTCTGTGGTGCGGGTGGTTTTCTCCCTCCCCCTGTAGGCGGGTTGATCGTTACGGTTGGCATGTTCGAGATCTGCAACATTGAAAGAAATAACAACTGCAAGGATCGTGAACAACACGCCCAGAGCCGTGGCTGCTGGCACCATCGAGATCTGCGACATCAAAAGCGACAACAGTTACCATAATTTCTGCACTCAGGCGCCAAAACGCTGCCCCAATTTGAAAACAGAGCCGTCCTTGAATTCTGCAAAGAGCTGCAAAGATCTCTGCCACTGGAGGCCCTCTGTGCAGGCGTTGATCGCCTCTGGGAGATCCAGAATACTTAGTCATCTTGGATGCCACAAAGAAATCAGGGGAGCAAATGAACTTGTCAGAGATGGGGCGCCCTTGGGAACCCCATGGGCAGGTCCCCACTATGGATTTGGGGAAGTGTCTGTGTCATTACGAGGCAGGCGCTGGCCTAGAAATGTGCAGGGCAAGAAGAACGAAGTGGCAAGCCCCTGTCATGTCACAGCCGCTCAATGCTCAGAAATGAGGGGTCAACGAAGAACGGTGGAAGATCATGGAAGTTCAAAGTGCAACCAGCAGCTTGGAACCGGAAATCTGAAATTACGGAGCTCCGAGTGTCGGCGCTGGTCGCGAAGATGTCTTGGTTCTTTCTGTGGTAGAACCTCAGCTGTGACGGCATGTTAGCTCAGAAATCGAAGGTTGCAAAGCTGCACGTCAACCTCTTCTTCAAAGAGCTCGCAAGTAGAAGATTCGACCCCTAAGATGGGTGCACAGTGTTCACAGTGTAGCCGCCCCAAATCATGCAGAGCATCAAACCCCTACAAGGCTTGATCTCAAGTTGTAACCTTCTCTTGCCATGGCACTGCTGGGAATAGAAGGCCAACGCATGCTGCCACTCAGAGGAGCAGGCGGCGATGAGGGATGTACCTTGCTTCATGCGTGGGGATACTAGATGAACTGCAGGCAGCCAACAGCAGGCTGACTTGCACTTCCGCTGCAATTGAGTGATGGGAGGATACATTGGGTGACGACCCGCCCCTGTGTCTGGAACGTCCCGGTGAGGAGGCGATTGCTCCAGTCAAGGATATCTCAGGCGCGAGCGAAGGTCGAGAGCAACCCCACTAGTCACCCTCTTCTGATATAGCCCACCAAACCCCACGTCTACCTTAAATATGNNGTATATGTATATATATATATAATGCCTGGAAAAACCCCAGATCGCACCGTGCATAGTACTTGCGCAACATATGGACTGCCCCTTCCTGCCTGAACGACAGCCTGAGCCGGAAACTGCATTCCAATCCCTTTGCTACAAATCCGGCTTTTCGGCAAATTCGAATATTGAAATACCAAAATGGGCTGCTCTGAACAAGGGCCATGGGGCTGCTTTGTAATAGGGTGGAGACTAGACAACAAAACATCAAACCCTCAACATGCCGGGCCCAGGCACACGTGATATCGTTTGCCTGTTTCAGGTGAGCAATATTTTTCTGGTTCCTTGCTGGGAGATGTTTGGGAACCATACTTGGTTTTACTATAGTCAAAAAGATCTTGCAAGGCCCACCAGTCTCGGGGTTCTGTTGTGGGAAATCCCGGTATCAAGCTTTTTTTTTGTTGGGGGGAGGGGGTGGGGTGGTGGGGAATTAGCATTTAGAGGCCGAGTTTAGGATAGAATTCAGGAGACCCCTAGCCTTTGGAGAACTAATCTGCAAGGCTTAGGGCAATTGAGGTTGTGCAGGATTCTCAGCATCCATCATATCCACATCCTGGAGTCCCCAGGCAGTCGCTGTCCAGGAACATGAAGAGTAGCATTTTCAAGGGCGCCCAATGCCCCCTTAAGGATCTTATGAGGAGCGATACAAGAGATGCTCATGTCATTTTGGGTCGGTAATTCGGCTTGATGTGCGAGTAAATGAAAACAATCAGCGGCTGGGTACGAAGCCTTGCATAACAGTCTTATTAGTGGAGGTACGGCCGTGGGTTCTGTTTTTTAGTACGTGTATGTATATAAGGATTGATTCTACTGGTAGGCTTCTGTTTATCACACTGAGCCCTAGACCCTCTTTCCTGAACCCTAAACCTTACAGTGTTACAGGGATGGCAAGAGTAAGAGCAGTCATAACAACCACGACAGAAATGATGTTGGTGCTACTGATCTATTATGAGAGCCATACTGCCAAAAGGAACAACATCTGGTCATCACGATCGCTGTAAGAATGACAATAGTCATGGCCATGATGGTCAATGTGACGACAGTACTAATACAAATGGTCTCCCGAAGCAGGCACCTAATGTGTACGCGCACCAATGCTCCTAACGAACCCTCAAAGTCCATACCAAAATCCCACCTCATGTCACAACAGTACAAAAGCGATAACAAGAGTAGCAATAACAGAACACACAAGTAAAATAGCAATTGGCACAAGTAATGTAAGACTACCTAGCACAGTTAGCAACGCTGACTACGTCACACTTACCATGATTGCCTTCAGCTTCGAGTCCCTCATCTGTGCATAAAGCACCCTTGCTTCAGCGCCATGGCCCTCCTCGCGAGAATCTCCTAGACCCCCAAATCGTACAGGTGCTTACATGGGAGTGGATCCGCATCTCATAGGTGCAAGCATCAATATAGTAAATCTATTCCCCTACTGCCCCTCAAACACCAGTAAGACCTACCAACAATCAAACTCTGAGGTCAGGGAGAACTCTCGAATATCCAAAAGGGTTTAGGGTTGGGGGAACCCAACCTCCCAATTCTTCAGGAGAGCACGCTAGATACCCACAACATATTTGCACGTGAGTCAATTACGATGGATATCGGCGAGGGCTGAACTTTCTACGCGAAAGAATGGTTGCCTCATCTATAGCCATTGCTTTCAGGCAGCACTATGAAACCGCAGCACTATGAAACCCATGTTTCAGGATCAGCCTGGGGTAGCCTTTCTTTTGTGTGTGCTCCCCTAGCCCCAAGCGTTACGGCGGGCTTTTCTTGAATTAAGCATGGATTCCCAGCTGCATGGTCTTTAGACATCGAGAGCTAACTTTTGAGGAACATGCTGTAGCTTCAAAGGGGAAGGACGATCCAAAGCAGGAGCTGGACCTTTAATCCAGAACGGCTATCCCAGCTGTTTTTTTCTGCAGATTTCCTTGCAAGCACTGATCGCAGCGTTGAACGCAACCTTAGAGCTGCTCGGTTTTGACAATTTGGGCGGGCTTCTTAAGATAGGCTGCCCTCATTAAGGAATGATAACGAGATGATCAGGGTCTGCGCAAAGTAGAGCTTCAGTCCAGGCCGTGTAGTTAATAGCAGAGAGGAGAGCCCAGGGAAAGCAGAAGCCATGGGATGTATCATCTCTGCAGGAATACATCTGTGACTTCATCTTTTTTTGTGTGTGAATGATTCGTACAGATGCTTGAGAGCTCGAAGGTTGTGAGTTTCTGAGGGTCCAACTGGACCTGGTATCCTGTGTGCGATTTTGTCCTACAATTTTGTACAGGGCATATTCCAAAAAAACAAGTCTCACAACCACAAGAAGATCTGTTCCCCCTGGACCCTCAACATGACATTGTCTTCTTTCATCCAATGCCAGCTGCCAAAGACCAAGATGAAATATCATCTGAGCTGAGGCCGTGAAACTTACGGTACGAGTAGTATACTACGTCGCGTTTTGCACATGAGACACTTAGGGGCAAGAAATCACCTCCCCCGAAAATTGAATCAAACACCCCTCAGCCCTCCAACAAAAGATTTGTCCCCCAAACTACACAGTCACAGAAAAGGTAAAATCAAATACTCTTTAAATGATGGCCTTCAACTTCTCAAAACACTGGGCATGTGCCTAAACCCTAGACTTAAAACCCGCCAACCATCGTCATCCTTGAGCGGCAAAGGATCCCCGCATAACCCACAGTATACGTTTTAGAGAGAGATTTTTTTTTGATGCGTCAGGGCTTGGTGGGGCTTAGGGCTTGGGGATGTGGATTTAGCGTGTCCACATTCTCTGCCTGCTTCGCCAAGCTGCAAGGTCAGGCCGCTTAGCACTGGCGCAGAGCTGCGCAAAGACCTCCAGCGCTTGAAGCCACTGACCTCAAAGGAGGCCATGGGTCCAGAGCCTGGGGGCTTTGAGGGTTTCAAGCTTGGGAAGCCAGGGGGTGCTCCGAATGTAAGCCCGGCGTTGGGCATGGGGACGCTCAGGGCAAGCATCACCACGAGGCTTCGTCAAAGACTAGCTTCAAGAAGGAAGCTGGTCGCACTGAAGCTTCCGGTCAAGGAACCAGGGACGCCAGCTGCTGCACGACTCATAGAACTACCCGAAACAAAAAAGAGCAGTGCGGGGGCGGCGCATGCACGCATGGTCCCAAAGAAGTTCAAGTTGCAGAAAACTCTTTCATTCCCCCAACCACTAAACATCAAATCCCTATATCCCAAAGCCCCGAAGCTTGAATCTCCTCGCTGCCTCGGGCCCTTCGTGGGGCAAGAGTATGAAGTTGATCAAGCATCCCAACATCATACAAAAGAATGCATGTGTGCACGTGTGACCTCCTCGGTCGCAGGCGGTAATGGCCGCGGTGTACGACACCAGGTCCGCTTTCTCCTCAGGCAATCATTCAAGAGTCAATGTATCTCTGCTTTCCTGGTTTCCGAGCAGAAGTCTGGGCATGCGCTTCCTTTACTTGAGAGTTTTGCTCTGGATGACTACACAAGGTAAGATTCTGTTCTTACATATGCCAACCACTAAGAGACTTGAACATTTCAAGACATATAAGCCCGCGTGGAAACCCTTGCTTCTTGCCTTGCAAAAACCAGGCTTGCTTTCGGAAATCCGGCGTTTTAGCACCAAAATCTGCTTCAAAGCAGGTAGTGCTAAACTGCCGGATTTCTGAAAGAAAGCCCGGTTTTTGCAAGGCAAGAAGCAAGGTTTTCCACGTCAGGTTGTTATGGATTTCATACGGTTTTTAGGGTTTATTGCGGGGCTTGGGCGGGCAGGGGCTCTTTCAAGAAGGCCTGGCCTTGATCGCTGCTAGGAGCTGCACAGCCAGCTGCCACACCGCAGACTTTGCACAGGCGCTCATCGCCGTGTTCTGGCACCTATGATGCCAGGTCTAGGGTTTAGGTTTGGGGTGTAGGGTTGGGAGTTTAGGGTGCAGGGTTTCTGGTGCAGGTCTTGGAGTTTCAGGCTTAGAGGCCCGGGTTTCGGGTTTAGATGTGGATTTCATTGCTAGGTGGGTACGCCCCAAAACGCTCATGTAAAGGTCATGGGCTGCATATGAGGTCTGCGTACTCCACATACAGACATATGCTTTTTCCTTTACTGGTTCCTTATTAGGACGTTGTTCAGAAAAGTCATTGTGCATTCCTTACTGGGTTGAATCTGAAGGTCTGTGTTTTGGTGGCTGAACCATGCTGAAGCAGGTAATTAATTACATGATATTCTTCGTTATAGTAATAGTACTCGTAATCATGCAGAATCTTACAGCCGAATGGGGATCACCAGCTCAATTTATCATCGGGAACAGCGGAGTTAAAGTAGCGCTCATCATGGTTGAGGATCGGCAGCCTAGCTGAAATGGCGTGACACAGAACTTCAATCAAGAATGAAAATCAAGTGTGACTTTTTCAGAACCCTGAACCCTAAATACACACAAAACCCTGCTTCGAATCGAGCTTTGAGCCTGTTTTAGCTAGCGACTGAGGCAGCTGTAAGGTGACCTCATCCAAATCCAAACTAACTTGGAACCCCACCAAAAATCCATAAAGACTGGACGTTCCTTGTAACTTAGGCTTTGGGGATGGCGAGTGCTATGAATCCAAACTAAACCCAAAAACCCGAAACTCTAAGTCCATAAACTCTATCCGTGCCCTGTTGTGAAAACCCTAAACCCCAGAACCTAAATAGTAGTTTCCACTTTTCTTTACCATTATCCCTATATATATACCAACCAGCCGTTCCAGGCGCACAATGTTTTTCTCCAAGCTCTGCTTCTCCAACTTTTCCAGCAGGAGGAGGGCATGCTGCCATTCACAGGCCTGAAAGCAATGACAGCTCCTCCCGCTGCTACCTTTTACTAGTAGCAGGAAAAGTATTGCGGCAGTAGTAGCAGTAGTAGTAGTAATAATACAAGGAGTACTCCTCTGCCTCATCCTTCCCCTGCTGCAACTACGAGAAATTACTGCCTCTCACTGCCTCTCATTGCGAATACGCGTGTCCTCAAAAACCTCTTTTCCTAGAGATGTGAGCTGTGGAACATGTGCTTTTGGTTTCACACGTGTTGGTTTCTGTACCTGCTGACGTGCAGCAAGCTTGATTTGTGCGTTTTGTCTGGTGCCTTCAGACCTTCCCATGATAATAGCCGCCTTCTACCGCAGAATGGGCCTGTAGGCCATGACTATGCGTGCTTGGGAGGTGCAGGCACACTTTGAAGTTCTGGCAGCGGTAGCCTGGTTTTGAGATCTTCAAAGAAGAATCTCAGCACCACAGCTTTACCCAATTTAGAACAAACCTGCGTGTCATGCACCATTTGGCATGAAGTCGGGTGAGATCCATAATAAGCCCTGAACATATGTGCATCTAAGTCGTATTTCAGACAGCACAACGTAAAGGAATGCTACCTGTTTTCCCGAACCTGATTCAAGGCATGTTCAAAAGCTTGTGGGCCTTGGGCTTCGTGTGTGCCTGGTATCAATCAAAGCTTGACAAGGATCAGAAGCTGTCTTGTCCGCCCACCAGGAATGCTATTGTAGAGACCTGACTTGTTATCAAAATTGTTTGCTTGTAATTCCGACATAACCATATAATATACTGCCCCAAAATGCCCCAAAGGAATATGAAAAATTGAATAATCCTCTTCATTATGGGCAATGACAGGTCTGCACACATTCAGGCGCTGCGCCTTCTCGCAGGCCTTAATGGTGGCACTGTACCTGAGACTAAGGCTGTGTTCAGAAGCACCCAGTGAGCTTACGGAATGGAAAAGAAAATGGAAACTACTCTAATGGGCTATATAGGCATTTTAGGGTATATATTGGGGCTATATAGGGATAATGGAAAAGAAAATGGAAACTATTGATTCGCAGAAAGCAAGTGGGGCTTTGCTAGAAGCCCCCTTGTGCTATAACTGGCTTATAAGTACAGGTACAATTGAACAGGTTGTAACTAGCCATGGAGCTCCAAGTATCTGACCTGGAGACACAGCTCTAACCGTAAGTTGCTCTTTGAGAATTTGAGAAGCACCTCCAACCTTGGACTCTGGCTGCCATCCCCCAAGCCAACATAGAGCCTTCACCTTCAACAGCACCACAAAATTTGTGACAGCCAATCTCTGCAAGGCACACTATGACGTTTGGCGGCTCTCTGGCGGTATCCAGCAGGTGTCTCTCCAAGTAGCCCAAGGCCTGTGAAGGTCTGTCTACACAACTATTCCTTACTAATTCTGTGCATACATGGGATGGGGCATATGGCAAACTAGGCGGGCATATCCTCACAGACTGTGAAGTGTGTCTACGGGATTACCTGACAGGAATTGCCTGGCAATAACTTGGGCTTTCCCTACCTAGGAGTCGCCTGACATGCCTCAGGGCTAGGGTTCCGGCAAGTTCAGCATGAAGTCTCCCCGAGCCTCCCCCAAATTAGAAATGTTGCTGGAATGTTTACAATGATGGCGGCTTTATTGCAAAGAATTATCAGGGTAAGTAAATCTACTTAAGATCTAGTTAGAACCTAATTGACATCAACTAGAACCCAGATGACAGCTAATCCAAGCCCGTGCATACTCGAAATACAAGAGAAATCAATGAACACCAGACTAAAATAAATTGAAATTCAAAAGGATATTGAAATTTACTTAAATCGTTGATATCTAATTAACATCTGATGAAAACCTAATTAATTTGATTAAGCTTCTAAGTACAACCCTGTTGAATCTAATTCAAGTCTGTTGAAATCTAATTAAGACATAATTAAGACCTAATTCAACCGAAGTGAAAATGTGATAGATTCAATCTAAAATCACGAACGAGAAATGAAAAACAAGAACTCCAGGAAACCAAGCAGATGCTTAATTCCTTCGGATTCCTCATTCCCCCGCCCTCATGCCCTCAGAATGCCCAGAATTCAGTACTACGGGGACTCCTTGCAAAGTAATCTTGGCCCTCTTAAACAAAGAAATCTTCAGAAAGCTTCGGGAGCTGGGGATTCTCCGGGAGTGAGGCGAGTTATTTCAACCTTCGTAATGAGCGAGCCGTAGTTTTGGAACTCACCGTTTCAGGCAGGTACCATGACTTAGATCACTAGATCTAGGAGCCGAGAAGAACAAATGGGAGACCTGTGGCCCACAGAGATCAGGGATCACCACGGGGTCCCTTGCGGGGATCGCAGAAGCCCAGCATTTGCGCTTAGCCCTATCAGGTGCAAGGATGAATCAGGGCTACCTCCATCCACAGCTCGGCCCTGCCGCAAGCTCCGATCACGGCCACCCAAGTCACTGCCTGAAATGGGGCTTTCCCAAAAAATTGAGGAAGCGGTCCTTTGTGAAGGGAGTTGCAAGGCTTAGATGGGGATGTAGGGGTATATCGTGTTTAGTGTTTGGGGTTTCCTCGATATGGCTTGTTCTATACTGGAGTCTGTGTTGGGGCCCTCTAATCATGGAAACCCCGCTTTGGCAGCCTCCCCCAAAGTCCTAGTTGCTGACCTCCAGGGCGCAAGACAAAGGTTACCCTTACACGTCTGGTCGGATTTCATGAACACCACTTTAACCTGGAGCTCAGGCCCCCAACAGCTTTGTAAACCTCTCTATGTCAACCTTATCCCAATTCCAAGCTAAACTCTCGAGTGAACATTCCCTGTGCTAACCCCTAAACCCTAAACCCCGTCACTTGGAGTTCCGCGGATAATTCTAGCATCCTTATAGCGTTCCTTGCCTTGGGCGTCAAGCGCTTGGCCTCCGGGCAACCACATAGGGGTTCTCAAAAGAGGACTTGGTACAAGATTTGAAGAGGGGGTTTCTAACAATAGGCCTATCCGGGACACTAGGGTATACAGGGATATCGGAGGTTCTACAGGTCTGCCTTCAGTAATACATATATAGTTGCATACATACCTCCGTACATATAGGGGATGGCTTGATTTTTGTGCGCAGCTCCACCTGCAGGTATCTATCAGAGGAGCAACTGTTCTGAGGCATGTGGGCGCAGACATGCAACACATGTACCGTAGGTTGGATACGGCAGCTTCTTGCCTGTGGCTGGTTATGAATGGAGGAACGGATCCCGGTAGTAGTCCTTAAACTAGCGATAGCAATTTCTGGGTTAAGGGTTAAGGGTGAATACATGTGACTGCTGCCTCCACGCTACAGCATCCACATACTTGATCATAATCACTAAACATACAGAATTGGGAAGGCAACGTCCAACGTTGGGAGTTCGTGTTTGGCAGGTTTGCATACTCCGAGGATGGTGCTTGGACTCTTGGAGCTACTGTTGATGGAGGGAGCTGGCTCTGTTAGAAAAATCTCAAAGGCTGTTGTGCGTTTAGGCTGAGGTGTGGTTAGGTCGGTTTGACTTGCAGTGGAAAATCCTGCGCAAGCTTCTAGGACTTACAGCGCTCTTGTGACCCTACTACTGTGATACTAGACAATCAGCATGACTTCAAGCACCTTCTACCTTGGGAATTATGCCAAATCAAGTGTATTGAGGTCATAGATTTTGTAGTATCAACCGTGGGTGTCGCACAATTTCCACAATATCCCAGACCCCCCTCAAGGGCGCAAAAAATGGAACTCCCTAATACTCCCCTAGTTTCCCCAATGTTCATATTGGGGGGGTCTGGGATTTCGCCACCTCCAAGTCATTCAGAAGTTGAAATGAGCACTGCCACTGCCCTGACTTCTCGCACGCACTGATGGCCTGGAACTAAACTTGTTGGCGCTCAACGGTGTGGGGGAGTTTAGGGCCTAGGGTGAATCCCTACAAAACTCCCCACATAATCCCCATATACACATGACATGTATATATAGTTACATATATATATATATCTATATTCGCTTATACCCCTATTGGTGGAACCCACATATTTCCTCCCCCAAAATCACCTTGCAGTTTCCATTAGCTTTTCCATTCCTAGTCCCCCAACCCCCTTGAGCACAAGCAAGCAGATGCTCGGTTGTTGCTTTCCCTAAGTTGGGGAAGGCTCAAGCATGAATCATGAATCTTGACCTCCGAACTCCCCGAACATCCGGAAGAATAAGCCTACGTACCCATCTTGAGGGGGTTAAGGTTGTCATTATTTACGGGTATTTGAAAAGTGTCCTAGGGAGTCCACCCCTGGCCATAACCGGCTTAAAACTGTAGTGGTGCTAAAGGAGCATGTGGACACGGAGCCTGAAGCTCCATGAGCGCAAAGAAAGCCTACACATGCTCATCTATTTTGTATGCAGGTGGGCAGTCAAGGCCACTGTATGATGTACAGACATCCCCATATGGCCTTGAACAACCCGCCTAAAGGCAGCTAAAATCTTGGGCTCAGCAACTTGGATCCTGATTCTGGACATGACCCAAGAGGCAGCATTAAAGGTGATGATGTCAGGCTGAAGGTTGCCTTTCTCCACCTGAAAATATGCGAGGTCCAACATCTTGCTCATACTTAGTTGAGAATGCAGGAATATGGAAACTAGCGGATTCTAGCGGGATGAATTTGGGCCATTTTCTGTATGAACCAGTGGGAATGAATCCTTATAGTAGTGCCTACTTAGCCCATGCAACCTTCCTGTCTAAGCCTTCAGCCCTAGATCCTAAGACCCCAACCCTAACCCTCTAATTCTCGTTTGCATTTTGTTTTCCGTCCCCTGTTCCCGACTAGGCAACCGTAAGCCCTAAACTCCAAACCCGCTGTGTTGTCTCTTCAGGGTCTCCAGGAGTCCAGAAGTCATGCGCTGGGGTTGGACTCGGACATGCGAGGGGTGCTCAAAATATTCACACCAGAGACCGAGCCCGGTATGTCGGGCAATATTGCGCAGGGTCGTAGTGAATACCCTGATTCGTAGGAGAACTGCATTGCTATAGTATACAGAACATGCGAGATGCCCATCCTCAAGCAGCTGCGAATTCCTTAGCACGCCCCCTCTGAAGTTTCAGGCGACCACTATTTGTCGTTTCTTTTTTATCCCTGGGTTCCTCGACGGCACCGCTGTTTTGAGAAATCGCAAGCTCTGAACCCTATGCCCCAACCCCTAAACCGCAAATCCAGAACCCCCAAGTCGAACAGAGTTAGGGCCTTGAGTTTTCAGGCCATGGCACCTCTGAAAGCAAGTTCAAGGCCAGTGCCCACTTCTCCCCGTCCTTGCACGCGTTGATGGCCTCTTGGCTGGCTATTCTGAAGCTTCATGGCTAGGTATCAGTGAGCTTATGAGTACCCAAAACCGATTATGATTCAGTTTAGCTTCATGCTAATGCTGGCTTCTTTGCACGAATATCAGAATCTCAAGTTAAGCTAATTTTGGGAAGTTTTGAATAATGACAAAAAAGAATCCAATATCATGTAGCCAGCTCTTGGTCAAATCCAGGGGATGAACAATCTTAATGATTCAGAAATTGGGAAGTATAGCTTGACAGAGACTAAACCACCCTACAATCATATTCCTCACTACCGAAATCCCTGACAGCCTACCTCTAGACTTGTTCGACGTTATGATGGTTGACGCTTCCTGCACGACTTAAGCGTTTCACACTCCAGAGCAACTTCTTTGCCGCACTTGGAGAGTTGGAGACGATTCACCCGTGCGCAAACAAACATGGAACCCCCTTTGGCCGACGGCCGTAAAAAGCTTTTGGGGGCTGTCATCTTCGTCTGTGGTGGTTAGCTAGTCTTCAAGAGTATGCTGAGAACCCCTGTAATAATGCCATGTAACAGCCGATTATGCCAGCTATTCTTGCCAGCATTAACGAGCCCCCCCCTATACCCCTAACATGCCGACCGAGTTGCTGTGTTGTACCTTGGTTGCTCTTGTCCCCTCGAACAGTTCCAGTGTTTATCTTCCCCGATTCAAGAAAAGGAACCCCGAAAGTGTGAAAGGAAAGTACCGAAGTTGGAGACAAGCGGTTCAACTAATCCGTATAGCATTCCCCATGTTATCCAAAGGGATCGACGTTTCAAAAAAGGCCCACCAAGGCACGAGATGATGTCCTTCGCTACAGAGAGCTCGGTGAGGCAGTCAAAGATGTGCAAAGCCCCTTGCCATTGCCTGCCAGGAAGGAGCCAGCGAAACATGCCGAAATCTCTTGAATACCCATAGTCACGGCCTACATGCTCCTCTTGCTGGGAGCAGAGGCTGTTACTTCGGGCGCCTGGCAGGTCTGAGTACAGGCAGAACATGTCATCTAGGCTGCCTGGCTTGAAGCTGTGCCTCAAACCGCAGCATGTCTAAGTTTCAGGCCAAACCCATCAGGCTTTGGGAGAACAAGTTGAAATCTGTGAGGAGCACTGAAACGCGTAGTACAAAGTCTAGCTGCTGAGTCCTCTCGCAGGTTAATTCTAATCATGGTAGGAGTACGTATACCCAAAATGGTCAAATCTTCTTAACCTAGCTACTAAGGTAGCATCATGCCCAAATACACACAGACACACCAGCCACACAGCTCAAAACTGCAGCCATGCACGCATCCCTGTCCCTCAGACCGCATCACTTCCAGCGCAGCTGCCTTCCCTTGCTGCAGGCCCCCATCGCAGCATTGTATGTGAAGGTGTTTGCTACAAGCTTCACCTCCGCATCCTGAGCTTTCAAAGCTAGAGACTCTGCAGTCTAGCGAGGCCCACTGTGGGTTATGCATGGGGATTATATAGGGGTTATATAAGGATTGTATGGTATATGTTGGGGTCACATATGGGATGACGGAAAATAAAGTGGAAACTACTATAGTATATGTGTGGGCTATATGGGGAAATATTGGCAGTTGTTCCTGCTTCGACAGTAAACTTCTTTGACAGTCAACTGTGAGATCCCTAGCGACCGCAAGCCAGCAACCAAACACCACGCCAATGCGGTCTAGACCCACTTAACATCACATTCTGTTTTCTGGTTTCTTATTGCCTTTTTGAGATACTAGTAAGAATTCTAATTGTGTATTCCTTGTTGGGCCCCGACTATCTCAGCAAATATCATCCAACAAACGACTGCATTCGGAGATGGGCCAGAAGCAATGCGGCTTGGCTTCGGCAAGGAGGCTGCATGCTTCTTGCCACCTGTCTGAAGAGGTGATCCCAACGTCACTGCAAGAGAGATGCAAAAGGGAGACTTGTTATCATGGGGCTCTTACTCCGTGACTGCATAGATTCCAACCTCTTTTCAAGATGCCCTGCAAATGTTTAACCCACATTGTAAAAAATCATAGGACTTGGGGGGTCATGTGTGCGCTGTCAGTACGGCTGTTTCAAGGGTTTACTTGCCCAAGGGCACCAAAGTATATGACACTAAGCCGACCCGCCGATGAAGCAA